CTGATCTGTCTGATGGCCTCCTGACAGTAGTGTTGCGCCAGGTTTTTGGTCTGTTCCACGCCGTCGCTCTAAAGAACAAGAAGAAGAAGGGGTGGCAACATTGTTTTAGTCTTCATTTATTCAAGCAATTGTGTTTCGGCAAAGCTCTACATTAACCCCGATTGGTATTATGGACCACTTATGTCGCGTTTCCACTACACGGCCTCGCTCGGCCCCGCTCGGTATGGCTGGGCCTCGTTAGGACTGGCTCACTTTATGGCGCATTTCCATTACAGTTTAGGAACCGGGGCAGTATCTATAGTAACGCAGTGTAGGCGGAGCCGTGACGTGATCTTCAGAGGACCCCAGAAAAACAACACAGCCGTTAGCTGTTAGCACTCAGAGCTCACAGCTCCTCATATATGTTCAGAAACTAGACAAAAGTTAAACAAGTACAAACCACAGACTGCCTGTGTCATGGTGAATACAGTCGCTGCTTTATTTATGTCTGTATAGGCCGTTGTTGTGAGTGTGGACGGTCGGAGCATATACTGCGTTAGCTTAGCCAATCTCCATTTAGAAAACAAGCATTTTAAAAGGTTTTTCGCCTGCCGTCTGTCTGCAGACTTGACAAAGCATTAATTCATGGTTTTTACTAACCGGTATCAGTATGTTGTTACTTCGGCATCATTTTGAAACGTGCATTACAATTAAATCACGGTCAAATATGTCCATCTTGTTGTAGTTGTTGCCCCCTTGCCAGCGACGCTCTCTCTAGTTTAGCATACTCAGCCCGACTCAGCCTCGTTGCCTCTGGCCCTGGCCCCACGATTTTATGAGGCCAGAAAAACTGTGAATTAGGACCCGCCGGCCGGTACTAGGCCAAGTGGAAACGCAACCAAAGACGGGCCGCTGACGTCACAGCCCTCTTAAACCGGGCTGCGGGCTGTAGTGGAAACGCGCCATTAGTGAATCTCAGCTGTTTGAGTAGAGAGTGTTCGGACTGGAACAATGTTTTCTGATTATTCTGTCATCACATGAATGCAGCACAAATGCCTTGTTAACAAACGTGTAACATTGTTAGTGTATCGTGCCTAAGCATCTTTCCCCTTACAAACAAACCAACACAAAATCCCTGGCTATGGATAAGTACCACACTTTAAACCATCTGAACTTGTCGTAATGAATCACAAACCCATTGTAAGAAGAGATATGTGTATGGCATTCATGGTTTATTATATTATGAGAGCTTGGAGAGAGACTGTGCCTTGATAAATGACGTACAGTATAAGCCGCCAAGCGAAAAATGTTCATATTCATCTACCCTTATTTACAGTCAAATATTCTCAAAGTAGATGTTTTACGAACTCCTTTACATTCAAACCCTTACATTTAAATATGTATTTGGTTTTTAACTAATTATTGTTCATACCTGAAAGACGTATTGCCAGGCTCGATCTACGTCTCCTTTAGAGCTGAAACGTCTCATGATCATTGAGTGGAGCTCGGGAAACTGGAAAGACAGAAAGAAACTGAGTTAAAGACTGACAATCAACAGTAATGAAGTGTGTGTGTCTGTATTCTCCAGTAACTTCATACAGCAGTACAGTTTATATTAAAGCTTACATAGGTGAACAAAAAGTGCTAATGTGGATCTCACCTGTTGACAGGCAAACAGCACCGGTCCAGTGGCCAGGCCCAGTTTGAGATCTGCAGCCGAGGGCTTCCCCAGGTGGTTGGCCCCTGATGTGAAGTCCAAAACATCATCCACCAGCTACGAGACGGAGAAAAATAACAAATAGAATTATTTTATTCCAGTTCTACAATCCATTATGTTCTGGATAACAAAACATGTAATCAGACACAGTTAAAGGGTATTCTCATAATTTAGCTAGTAAGTATTCAAAACGGATTCAAAGATTCAAACAGAAAGTTACCTGAAATGCGATGCCAACATTCTTCCCGTACTGGTAGGCTATTTCATGGACCTTAGGATCAGAACTTACTAGAACGCATACCTTTAATGAAAGAGAAGAGAGAGTTAATTAAAAAAAAAAAAAAAAGAGTAGAAACTGAGCCATCTAACTAAAATGGAAGGAGTCTCTAACTGCGGTCAAATAGTAAGAAAAACATCCTAGAGTTTTCCAACGATCTGTTCAAGAAAAGATGTAAAGAGAATTCATTAGGACTTAGGAAAAGACAACTGTGGAGCTTACTTAAAAGACGTTTGAGTTCCTAACTGAGTGAATTGACTCAGTTTCTTCAATTCTCTGGTATTTGTGTGGAAACAGAACGTACATACTGCTTTACAACTGTTTGCAATCAGACTCGCTGTCTTCTTGAAGGTTTTCTCCAGGTAGTGTTTGAATCTCTCGTTCTCGTTCTCTTTGGAGCCCAGCTGCATGAATTCACCTGGAAGTAAAATAAATTAAGTTTAGGGAGTTTGCCAACGGACATCTAAGGAGATTTTATGTTTTTACAGTTTGAAGTTTAAACGTTTTAGACAGCTTTTGCTGTAGTTAAAAATGGTGACTACTACGGTACAACACTATAACCGACTGATTTAGCAAATTTGCATGAATAATGTGATTGCTTTACCTCGCACCAGATCCTCTATCACCTGGGAAAACACTTTTACAACCGTGTTGTTACCAATTCTGGCCATGGTTATGGAGGCAACTGATAGGATGAAATCTCCAGCCAAGATTGCCTGGAAGAGAAAAAAAACAATCATTCATAAAATAAAATGGTTAATTTTTATCAATTAAGTGATAAAGCAGAATATATCAAGTGGAATAAACAGGGGAAGGTTTTTCAGCTGATTTCATTACCCCTACCTTTTTTTCACCCCACAGTTCATTGATGGTTCCCTTCCCCCTTCGTTTATTAGATCCGTCTATAACGTCATCGTGCACCAGGCTGGCAGTGTGGATCATTTCTGTGATCATAGCTACGGCCCTCTGCCCTGGGAGCAATTCTCTACAGAGGACAACAAATTGCAGGAAATGAGATAAGATAAAACCCTGGACTGTGATTCATATGACAATTAAAAGAGTTATAACAGAGTGTGATGCATCTTCCCTCTGGTATCAAGGGTAAGAGGCAGTTAGTAGGGAAAAGAGAACATTTGTGGAAATCTAGAGTGATCTTTTTTTTACCCGGATCTGTTGCTGTGGCTGTTGAGTGCCCGCGCCATCAGGACAACTATCATTGGTCGGATGGCCTTGCCTTTTCCATCAAAGTAGTAATGACATAAAGCCTTCAGCTCTTTAGTTACAAACAGCTCCTGTAAAGCAACAAATAATTTATATTAGTTGCATCAAAACAGCTACTAAACCAGATAAACATTTGCAAAAAACCACATGACTGTAAAATGACTTCTGCTAATTTCTAACCAACATCTTTTTAAGATAACAACACAGGTATGGCTCACTATTATTAAAGCTGAAATAACTCTGCGAATCCATCCGTCTCTATGCTTTGTAGACAGAAAATTCCACTATTTTATATCTAAAGAAACATAGAGGAAAAACTCAGTATTTCAATGTACCTTTCTGATGTCATCATATAAATTAGTGAGATCTTTCTGTGCTATTGTGAAGGGGTCCTGAACCTTCACATCTGTGTGTGCACTGTTTATGCAAAAGCAAGACTTTAGTGAGGGATCCAGCAACCGTGGTTTGTGTCTGCAAGAGAAAAACAACAACATACAGCAACTGTGAAATACAGAAACATATTGAAATACAGAACATATGCGTATAATGTTAAATAAAGTTTTTAACACGGTATAAGTGAAATATGTCATTGAAAATGGCCTATATTACTGTGGTACAACATACAGTGTTTGTCAATCATTTTTGCACAGCCCAATGTTATCAACAATATGTACAGGATAGAACCCCCTTCAACCGGAGGGAAAATATAGGCCAATTTGTATTCAGCTAAAACCTGTCTCGCAGTGTAAGGTGAACATTATAATAATACACAAAAATCCAGGAATATTTTGGTTACATTGCAAGGCCTTTGGTAAAGACAACTCACTTGGTGAGAGATGTGGTAAAGTTAAAAGTGTTTGGACCTGTCCGTCTTCGCAGTGCTGATGGCTGCCCCTGGAAAAAACAAAGGACATGAGACTTTTAGACTGTATTTAGGTTTTATATCAGGCTACTATTAGGTCAGCAGAATCAGCATTTCAACACAAAATGCATTATTTCTGGCAGCTTGGAGAAGGCTTTATACAACATAGACCCTCACCTTGGTGTAAGAAATATCGTAAATTATTTACATTCAAGTAGATGAAAACGAGAGTGTATATACTGTACTGTATTTCTAAATACATATAAATAGCAACAATGACCCACAGTATAATGTATTTGTAAAAGGTTTATAGATAAACATAACAAAAATGCAAAGAGAACTCGAGAAACATGATGTAAACAGCTAGCTAGGTAAAGGTCAGAGTAATTAATATGCATTATGAAAGGTCTTGACCTTAGTGTATTCAGCGCACGGTGCTGAGTTAATTCTGTAAGAGCCAACAGCCCCTGGCACAAGTAAGTGAGTCACCATTCAGTTACGAAATACTAATAGAAAATAAGACACTAAATGGCTCAAAACCTAACATTGGCTCAAAACCTAACATTGACTGGAAACGTCCCAGACAGTACAGTAATACACCAGTAAACTAAAAATCGCTAACATTGAGCCGGGGAGGCTGACGGTTCGGTGGTGACCTTCCGGGGTTTCTGCAGCACTCCCTACCCGGTGCCGATAGCAGCCGTAAACTCACCTCGTTCCCCGGCCCAAAGCTCCAGGATGTCCGCCCCAGAGAAGATGTGGAGAATGACACCGACCTGCCATTACTATACCACAACGTTTCGAATAAACTCGAACAGTTTGCATTCCACTTTGAGCATTGCCTAAGCAATGGGCACGCCATGTTCCCACAGTTAGTGGGACGCACTGACAGGTTATTTAAGCGGAACCGGAAATGACAAGTTACTGACGTCGATCCACGCGACGGAGTTAACGCTAGCTATATATGGGAGTTGTTACATTTCAGGAATGCAGTGGTAGATGTCAACAACTGTTGCTTTCTATTTAACTAAAGATATCAAATGTGTCTTTGTCTAGTTCTCCAGGAATTAAGTAGATTGTGTGTGTAACGTTACTATTTGGAGATAGTAGCTAACAGCTAGCTTTAGCCTGTAGCCAATGTTGCTGTTGTTTTCCAGTTTGTTATACTGTGATCTTGGACGTAATGCAGATTAATTAAATAATACTACTTTAAAATCCACACACAAATGTTTTACGAAAAAGGTTGCCTTTAAGTCAATCTTGTTTTTCACAGCATAATCACAGGTGTCAATGACATGTGAGCTTGTTTGCCATTGGTGTAAATTATGCAAAGTACATTTGCTTGTACTGTGTGCATTTTTCCATGTAATGCCACCTTACACTTTTACTCCAGTAAATGACATTTCAGAGTAAAATTATTTGCCGGTTCAGATTTCAACGTACATAACCTATGATCCATACATAAAATATATGAAGTTGTATATATGAACTACCCAAAGAGTAGGCTAGTTTTACTGTTGACTCTTTAAGCTTATTTTGGGAATATTACTTAGGCAAGTAAAAAATAGTATTGAATGTAGTAGATCATTATAGTGTTATTGCTACTTTCACTTCAGTACAGGTTTGAGTTCGTCTTCCCCAAATGCGCTGTGTGCTCCAGCTGAAAATCATTTTGTACCCATTTTCAAATCTACAAATAAAGCTTACAGGCAGGTTCCTTTGAGGCGGTGTCTGTGTCTATGACATGTGGAGCCCTAACCAAGTGTTAGTGTTTGCACTGGTAGCAGCATCCAGCTTCACATCTGTACATGTTCTGGAGTTCTGCCAGAGTACTGACTAGTGATGTGTCGGTCGCGAACGAGCCGGCTCAAAGAGCCGGCTCTTTTAAGTGAACGACGGGAGCCGGCTCGCGCCCGCGAACGAGCCGTTTTTTTTTGTTATTTTGTTGTTAAGTAATACAAGACAGAATGATATGATGATCTCCGCGCTACAGCTGCTCCGTGCATGCATGCAGTGACATGTAATATCCAAGGATTAGAGACTGTTGGATGCTGCTGTACTGAGCATTGCAATATATTTATTTTCACTATGTCATTTATTTATGATTATCCTTGGGCTCAGCAAAGATTTGATGTCAGCTGTTGCTGTCTTTTTTTCTATAGTTAATACTGAAATAGAGCCCTGCTGTTTAGTCAGGGCCTTTTCTTTAAATATAATTTTAAAATGTCGATACAGTAGCCCCTTTATTTAAATGTCTATGCTTAAGTTTTTATCTCAATCTCAATCTTTATTTATTTATATAGCACATTTAAAACAACCTTCAGTTGACCAAAGTGCTGTACAGGCAATACATATTAAATAACACAATGGGAGTACAATAATAAAACAATAATTAAAAACATGATAAAAAGCACAATAACTAGAAAAATATTTAAAAAAAACACATACAAATGTAAAAATGTAATGTTCAACTAGTATTAAAAGCCAGTGCAAAGAGGTGAGTTTTTAGCTGAGATTTAAAAAGTTCAATAGACTCAGCAGTCCGGATATGTACTGGGAGGCTGTTCCACAGTCTAGGAGCTGCAACACTGAAAGCCCTGTCACCTCGGGTTTTTTATAGGTGTTGCTATCTGCTTTGTGTAGCGTGGTTCAAGCAAGTCAGTGCATTCATTGGGTGGTATCAGAGAGATACAAGGGTCTGTAAATGCAATGAAAACTGGCCACAGCAAATAATTGATATTAAACATGTAATTTTTACTTTTGAATACTTCAGTACAAAGGATGTATTGAATAATTTAAGTGATATGTGTACACATATAAATCATGAGTCAAAACAGGGCTACATTTGATTGAATTATAAAAGGTATAATATGTAGTAAACTGAAGAGCCGTTTGGGAGCCGAAAGAGCCGGCTCTTCTTGGTGAGCCGAGCCAAATGATCCGGCTCACCAAGAAGAGCCGGAATTCCCATCACTAGTACTGACCGTGACTGCCATGGTGATAATCATGACAATATGGCATCAAACAGCCAGCCGTCCCTACACACTGTCAAATCCAGGTGGAATGTGAGTGTTTCCAACCTTATAAAAGACCTGGAGCAGTTGAAAGTGTCCAGCAAGAAGCTAATAGGTACAAAATGATCTTCTTTTTTATGTACTTTTGAGGGTGATACACTGATAATGTAACGATTCAATTGTTTTTTATATGTTCTGCAGAAGCATTCCCGATTGATGAGGTTAATGGCAACTTTGCTCGCTCTGTAAAGAACTGTATATTCTCCAAATCCATTCCAACCCCATTGAGAGGCCCATTGAGACTGGCAGCAGCTTCTAAGGTGATCTTACAATATCATCAGCAGCACCACAGAGTCTTTACAGTGAGATGTGAATAATTCATTTATATTTGAATTTGTCTCAACAGGATGTCATCGAGGGAATTTTAGACTTGGATGTGGCTCTAACCCACACCAATGATTTCCTGCATTTTGCCAGTGGGGACAAACTGCTATCAAGATCTGTACCCCTCGCTCACAGATATGGAGGTCATCAGGTCATGATTCATTTGTTTTCTCTGTTTTGCAGTCTTCATTTTGTGCACTGATAGTTTATACATTTGAACCTACTAATGTAAATTGCAACATATAAAGTTTCAAATACAGACTTTTTTTTAAAGTACAATCAAGCTATGCAGAATTCCCTTTGTGGTGAAAGCAGGTTTACACGGTTTATTGTATTACCTAAAATCTACTGTGAATATTTATAAAGTGCTTTAATAATACCACAAAAATATAATTATTTGAGGACATATACAGTATTACTTTAACAGACAATACATCAACAGAGGACTACAATAAGACAAAAACAAGTTGATTAGAAAAGTCAAGGAAACTTTACATTCTGTTTTTAAATTGTATCGTTTTATTCTACTGATTAATCACAGTTGATGACATTAAAATGCTCCTTCTCCATCAGTTTGGGTACTGGGCAGGTCAGCTTGGCGATGGTCGAGCACATTCCCTTGGTCAGTATACAAACAGGTGAGAATTTTATTAGGTCCCTTGTTTTTCCAAAGTATTTGTCATGGTTTGGGACTTATGTTGCCAAATTCCTGTTTTATTTTTGAAATTCTGTTCTCCCTTTGTCTGGTCTTCCTTCCTGTGTTTTCCCTCCTGTGTCTGATTGTCTCATTGCGTTCACCTGTTGTGTTTCTGCCTCCCCTCCCCAGCTGTGTCTTGTCCTGTGATTACCCTTCTGTGTATTTAGTCTTGTCTTCGACTTGTTGTCCATGTTACCTGCCTGCTCCTGCTTGTAAGTTTGTTCCTGTCTGTCATGCTCCCCGGTTTTGTTAATGTTTAGTTCTTTCTTGTTTTTCCTGTCATCGGCTTTTGTTAAATAAAGCTCGCTTGGTTCCATTTTCTACTGCGTTTGGGTCCTCATACCGTTGTCCTGACAGTATTGTAAATTCTCCAGTTAAATATTTGACTTGCATTCCCTTTAAAATGCCCCAAAGGAAAGGAGAAGTGTGGGAACTGCAGCTTAAAGGCTCTGGGAAGACTCCTTATTCCAGGTATATTTTTTTGTCATACCTGTTCCCATTATTTTTTTCTTGGTTCCCTTTGCCACATTTGGAATCATTTTGTTTCTGGGATAACAAATGGCTGCAAGCGCCAACTTTTTTTAAATCTGGAACTTTAATATACATTTTTATGTAATTGTTGTATACAGGTCAGGAGATGGTAGGGCTGTGATCCGTTCTTCTGTAAGGGAGTTCCTCTGCAGTGAAGCCATGCATTTCCTGGGGATTCCAACCAGCAGAGCTGCCAGGTGATGGATGAAACTGGGTTAACTTTTGTAATGTGACTAATATAACCTTTACAATATTTTGTTTAGGATTCAAAGAATGTGTGCAGTTTTATCTGTAACTTGCAGTGCATAAAAGCATCATAATGTTTAAAAGACACCAAATTATTCAGAACTTGTACGTTTCTACTTCCCATTTTAAGAAGTCGAGTATCTGTATTAACATGTATGGGTTCACAACGTTATAAACTAAGCTGAACTTCCTACGCAGAAAGAGAGGGGCCTTATTTGTGTTTTAACAACGAGGGCAGAATTATTTATGGATGAATTCAAAATGTATAACCACTAGCTTGATGTGTTGACTGTTAGGTGTTTTCTGGTATTGATGTGATAATGTTTCGCTTTGTTTCAGTCTAATTGTAAGTGATGAGCCTGTGATAAGGGATAAATTCTACAATGGCAATGTGAAGACAGAGAGAGGTACAGTGGCTCATTCAAAAATACCTTTAATTATTGTCACTGTGCACCTGTTTTAGGACCAAAAACTACCACTGGGTGGTGCCCAACTATTCACATTGAGGTCATTGAAAAAAGTTGTATAATGTCTCTTATAGTAAATGGTGTCTTATGTTGCAGTTTGTTTTTATTATTCTAGCTTCTTTATTCTTTTTTTCCCAGGGGCTGTTGTTCTCCGGTTAGCCAAGTCATGGTTTCGGATTGGATCTTTAGAAATTCTGTCTCAGAGTGGAGAGATAGATCTCCTGAGGTTAGTATGATCACATGATCATAGTGTCAGCCCACTTGGGCTCCCTTCTCATTCCATGGCCTCCTGTTACATATACTGCAGCTTGTAAAATAATGCCTTTTTCTGCTGATTTTAGAAAGCTGCTGAACTTTGTGATTGATGAGCATTTTTCCTCAATCAATTCAGACGACCCAGATAAATATTTGGTAAGTACAATTACAAGGTTTCTTTAATATAGTTAAAAATAGGTATTTATGTATATTATATATTTCTTTGAGGAACTTCCTTGCTTCCTGCTTAATATTTTTTGCTTTATTCTCTAGGTGTTTTATTCCACAGTTGTAAATGAAACAGCCAATCTGATTGCCCAGTGGATGTCTGTTGGTTTTGCACACGGTGAGTGGTGTCTGAACATTTTGTCAAACAGTTTGTTGTTTTACCAACATCTACTGATATTTATTGTTTTATCACGACAGGTGTGTGCAACACTGACAACTTCAGCCTCCTGTCCATCACCATCGACTACGGGCCGTTTGGCTTCATGGAGGCGTATGACCCCGGTGAGTACAATGACTTTGCTTTATAGAAATAACTGAATGTTTAGTTATTTTGTCCAATGTCAAATAGAGCTTTATCGTTACAGGTTTTGTCCCCAACACATCTGATGATGAGGGCAGATATAGCGTTGGAGCTCAGGCAAACGTCGGACTGTTCAACCTGGAGAAGCTCTTAAATGCGCTCAGTCCTGTGCTCTCTAAACATCAGCAGAACCAGTAAGAACAACAGCTGTTCAAATTAAGCGGTGTATTGACACCAAGTGCAACAACACTGAGGCAAGGCACGTTTATTTATATAGCACATTCCAAAAACCAGGCAATTACAAAATTGATTTGCAAAAAGACGTAGTGCAAGAGAAACACATAATGTTATTACATATACATTGATTTAAAAAAGCCATTGGACTTAACATAAAACTCAGCTAAAATAGAATAAGAGAGGAATAGAAGCTACAAGGCTCTGTAAAATCTGAATAGTATAATACTTTGAAAATAAAAGGCCGCGGCAAACTGAAAAGTATTTGTCCTTGATTTAAAAGAAGGGATAGTTGAAGCACACCTTTTGGTTTCTGGCAGTTTGTATTGATCATAAAAACAGAACTTGAACTGACTGTTCAAATACAAAACCCGGTGCACATTACTAATGAAATGAATAAATGACGATAGAATTGACCCTGTAATATTGGTCAGCAACATCATATTTTTCTCTTCTCCGATTTCATTTAGAAATGTTTCATTACAACTTTCTTTCTTTCAGGGCGCAACGTATTTTGAAAGGCTATGCCAATATTAACCAGATGAGGTGAGGTCCACATGAAATAATGTATTTTCTCTATGTTGTCCCTAATGATATATCCAACCAGTGAGAGTCAATATATATTTGATTTTACAGCTTTATTCATGCATTTGTTTCAGGATTCACCAACATTTTAAAGCTAAACTAGGGCTTCTAGGTGAAGAGGAGGAGGATGGCTACCTCATTGCCTTCCTGCTTAAGGCAAGCCATTGACAATCTTACATAATTCATGTCAGTCTACTAAATGGATTTAAACTCACTGTCTGTTTACTGGCTGTAACTTATTCTTACTCCCAATCTAATTTGTGTTTGTTTCACCAGATGATGGAGGACACTCAGTCAGACTTCACCATGACCTTCAGGCAGCTCAGTGAAGTTTCAGCCCAGCAGCTTCACAACAGGAAGTTCCCACAGGTAGAGAAGCGCTGAGGCAGCAGCTTGTCATGTTTCTGTTTTTAGATTTTATCATGACATCTTTCATATCTAAATCCAGCTTTCATCGTGCTGGTCATCATGTTTCTTCTAATTGGGTGTTTAGTAGATCAAATATAGGGTGAAAAATTACTTGCAATATTATGTAAATGACACTTGGATAATATTTTCCAATCTATATGGCAAGTTAATTCGTGTAACATATGTAGGTACAATAGGCCACATTCAAGAAACTGATTTTGCATCAGCAGAAATATTCAGAACCTTTTTGCTTGTTTTTGAATTAGATGTGGGCTCTTGAAGACTTGTCATCCCACAAGCTCTTCTCTGATTGGCTCAGCATGTTCCTGCTCCGGCTCAGCAGGTAAGCAAATCATGTTAAATAATGGCTCACCATTCTGAAGTTAAAGAGTTTGAAGTTATTCTCAAATGTTTACAAGGTACTTAGGCTTAGGCTCCACGGGGACGAAAACGGGTTGAATCCGCATATTTCTCATGCGTATAGCCCTTTTGAGCTCGACGACGCCGTAACGGAAACGTAGAAACAGACCCCGCAAACGACAACGGGTCCAAAGGTGGATAGATCTGGGAACGGAGCGCTCTGGGGGGTCCAACGGTGCCGTGGGGTCGCCTATACGGTCATCCGTTTCATAGCCCCGCCTCGCCCCGCCTCTTCCCACCTCTCCGCGTACCCCGCATCATTGCTGATGTGTTTCGTTAACAACAACAATAGCTATTTTAATTACCTCTCAAACTACCTAAACTAGTTATAAATATGTTTATTTTTACTGTCGAGTCATCATTACTGGATCAGCTGCTGCATGAGACAGACACTGACGCTGTGAGAAGAGAGGAAAAAGAGACAGGCTCTGTGTATTTTATTATCATATATCATATCGTCGTTATTCATTTGTTTTAAAGCTCAATAAATAACAAAGAAGACCTTTGACCGGCACTTTTATAATTTTGTCCGGAAGATTTAAACTTTAACACACGTTGACCGGCGAAAAACTCTGCCCGGATCCCTCGGCCCCCACCGCGGAGAATAAACAGAAGTGCAGCCATGACAACCATTCTTCTTCGCTGCTTTTGTGGAGGAAGTTGCTGCTTTTGTGGAGGAAGTTACAGCGCCACGTACAGGCTCGGCATATGTACTGCAGCTTTTCCAGCGGTTGGATGTAAACGGAGCCGTCTCGTGGAGCTTGACACAATCCGGCAGAGGTGGGAGTAAGTCTTACATGTGCAAGTCTCAAGTCTTGACCTACAAGTATCAAGCAAGTCCCAAGTCACTGTGGTGAGAGTCAAGCAAGTCAAGTAAAGTCATTGCTCAGGTCAAGCAAGTCAAGTCATACGAAATTCTGATGAATAAGCCCAGTTTCCGCATTTAAATCAGTTAAAAGACAGTGGTTATGAAAATGGATTCAACCCACACTATGATCTTCATTACATACACAGTTAATCATTTGAAATCTAATTTAGACCGATGACAATCATATTAGATTCATATTAACCCTAGAACTGCAGACAATATAGCTAGGACTCAATCAAAAAGTCTGTTCAAAAAGGCAGAATTCCAGGTAAGAAAATCATATATGGCATTTGCCATTACACATATTTAATTTAAATGTCTGTTAACACTAGAACCGCCAACAGCGTCAGCACCTACATAGATATCATTTTAAAATCATTTAATTTGTTCCTCTTCATAATTTCCTTATAAACTAAGTAGGACGATTTAAAACTCAGTTAATTGGGTTAATTTAGAAATTGCTTCAGTTTATCATCATAACAGATCAAAAAGTTCAGATTCATTTTACAATAAATCAAGGAATGGTGCACTTCTACAAACAAAAACAACATAATTAAAACATTTAAACAAACTACTAAAAGTAGATGAACTACATTATTCAACAGTTTACAGTAACTTCTGATAACACAGGGGAAATAAACGAGGCATCTCTTTTCCTCTCTCTCCCTCTCCTGACAGCCCGTCAGTATCGGGGTTAGTCAAAATGAATCCCTTGGTGGTTCTAGTGTTCATTTACCGTTTTGTCTTCTCTCTGCAATGCTTAATCGATTTGAAACCAAGTCTAACGTAGCTTAAACTTAACGTTAGCTTTCTAGCTAACACAACACATTCACGCACCTTTCTCTGTGGGTTTTTTTGTAGTGACGAATGAAGTTGGATGTTGTGGTGGTCGTGTCACTGATCTTTATGCTGCAGACCCTGCATACCGCTGTTCTCTTCTTATTATCGTCATCGACAACATAATCCTTGAATCCAAACTTCACTATTTGTGGAGTAACGCTAGCTGCTGCAATGTTAACTGACACTCCTGCCTTCTAGTGGGTTGCCAGGTTTGCGCGCATGGCGCTATAATCACCCAATCACGTTTTTCGAAAAACTAAACGTAATATCTCACTACAAAAACAAACGCAAATATTTAATTTTAAACAGTCAAGTCCTTTCAAGTCATCTGTCTCAAGCTTAAGTCAAGTCTCAAGTCATGAATACCAAGTCAAAGTCAAGTCTTTTATCAATGTTAGTCAAGCAAGTCTCAAGTAAAAAAATATGCAACTCGAGTCTGACTCGAGTCAAGTCATGTGACTCGAGTCTGACTCGAGTCGAGTCTGACTCGAGTCAAGTCATGTGACTCGAGTCTGACTCGAGTCAAGTCATGTGACTCGAGTCTGACTCGAGTCAAGTCATGTGACTCGAGTCTGACTCGAGTCAAGTCATGTGACTCGAGTCTGACTCGAGTCAAGTCATGTGACTCGAGTCTGACTCGAGTCAAGTCATGTGACTCGAGTCTGACTCGAGTCAAGTCATGTGACTCGACTCTGACTCGAGTCATGTGACTCGACTCGAGTCTGACTCGAGTCAAGTCATGTGACTCGAGTCTGACTCGAGTCAAGTCATGTGACTCGACTCTGACTCGAGTCATGTGACTCGACTCGAGTCTGACTCGAGTCAAGTCATGTGACTCGAGTCTGACTCGAGTCAAGTCATGTGACTCGAGTCAAGTCATGTGACTCGAGTCTGACTCGAGTCAAGTCATGTGACTCGAGTCAAGTCATGTGACTCGAGTCTGACTCGAGTCAAGTCATGTGACTCGAGTCAAGTCATGTGACTCGAGTCTGACTCGAGTCAAGTCATGTGACTCGAGTCAAGTCATGTGACTCGAGTCTGACTCGAGTCAAGTCATGTGACTCGAGTCAAGTCATGTGACTCGAGTCCCCACCTCTGCAATCCGGTGTATATTGCGTGTGGGCGGAAGGTTTTTTGCGGTTGCGTATGCGTTCCCCCGATGCGTTTTGCCGTATGCGTTCCCATGGAGCTGGGGCCTTATACTCATTTGGTGTCATAATGTTGTTTTTGTAGTTTGTAAGATTGGATTTAAATGTTTGTTCTCTCTGTTCAGACAACTAAATGATAGTGATTTGCAGCGTCAAAACAGGATGAAAAGTAAGCCACTAAACCCTCGTACTAAAGTTGATGTGAACATAAAATAGTTAATTATAGGAACTGTGAGTAATAGCATTGTGCTTCAAAACAGTATATAACAAGGAATACAACTTGACAAATGTGACTGATTGTGAAAATTATCTTACAGATGTAAATCCTCGATATGTGCTGAGGAACTGGATGGCAGAGTCTGCTATAAGTAAAGTTGAGATGAACGATTTTTCTGAGGTGTGTGTGTGTGTGTGAATATGATATCAATCTAATTTTAAAACAGGTTCTCCTCAAGGTCTCAAAATGTATTAAAGTTGATAAATCAATTTAACAATCTTACTGTATCTACGCAAGGCTGAGGCTATTACCATAATTCGCAATATGCGCCTGTAAAGTATTCCATTATTTGTTTAAAGGTCCCATGAGATGCTTTTCCGGTTATTACCCGTCCCCTTGTGTGTTATGTAGCTTTATGCATGTAAGCGGTCTGCAAATTCACAAACTCTCAAAGTACACCCTGTAGCGAGGAAAACTCTAACACAGAAAATACCTGTCTATGCTGCCCCAGAACGCCTCTTTGGAAATTTCTCAGCCTGGCTGTGAGTGTGTGTGTGTGTGTGTGCTCAGGCTGAGTTCCGCGGTGTCTCGCAGACCCCACGCAGCAACCAGGAAACGACACCAGTAACCCAGCTCACACTGTCCGCTCCTCGAGCCTCAAAGGGCGGAGCAGCGAGCACCGCAACGTCCCGCCAACACGGCACCCAGACCCCACGCAGCATTCTCATCTGTTTGTCATTACTGGTGTCATTTTCTGGTTGCTAACAAATGCCATTGTAAAACATAAACAATGATGTCCAGCTGTAACGGCGGTTGACTAATCGGAGCACAGTGGGCTCATAGGCAGAGGGGGGGGGGCGCAGGAGCTCCAACAAGGTGTGTAGGACAGAGTGAATACACACACTATACAGAGATGCTGTATGAGAAAACCAATGTGATTTTGGAACATTGAACAATGTAAATCTATTTTAGTAGACCTCAACAATGGAATTATGATCAGTAGAAATGGCCATGACATGGGACCTTTAAGGTACCTTTTTATATGACGTAGTCCATTGTGAATTATGCTTTGCAATTAGGTGATGCTATACTATGAATTTACTATGAACTTTTGTATGACGTACTATATTATGAAATATTATGACACTTTTTTTTATGAAATGTGTTTACTATATATTTAATATTTTACCAAACGTTTTATATGGCTTTTATGACATACCACACGATGGAATTTTACCATGCCTTTTTATCACATTCATTACTACTACATATCATTACTAAATATTACAATTAACTCCATGATTCTTACATAAACCCTTTATTAAGTAATTGGAAATCATAGCAATGCCCCCTTTTTTTCTTTCATGTTAAAAGTTGTGTGATTAGTTTTAACCTAGTCTTTTTTTTCCCACTAGGTGGAGCTGCTGCACCACATCCTTTCACATCCCTATGTTACACAAGAGACTGCAGAGGAGGCGGGCTATGCAGCAAGATCCCCGCTTTGGGCTAAGAGGTTAAAGGTCAGCTGTTCCTCTTGAGAGATTCTTGGATACAGCAACAACACTAAAGAGAAGAAGAATAACAGCATACTTGCACTCTTTGGTGTGATTTAGTAAATTCTCACATGCTGGTGGAAACAATTTGTTCCAAAATGTCAAGGTCGTGGCTTTTTAAATGTTTTTCTACTGCATATTTACATAAACGTATATTAAAAGATGCTACAGTTGAGACTGTCCTGTTGCTTTTTTAAGGATCTAGGTTTACATGCAGATTAACTTTTCACCTTAAACACATAAAGCAAGCACACACCAGAGCTGCACAATGAAAACTAGGTCCATTGCTTTTTATATTTCCCAAAATATAACAGAAAAGAGACTTGGTTATTCATTCCAGTAAAAAATGTTGTTCATGAATGCTTATGCCAGGTTTTTATTTAGCTTTTTAAAATCATGTTAACGCTTGTGTTGTGTTCAAAAGCTGTTACCGTTCATGGTGTTAGCGGGTCCATTTTGACCTATTATTTATCTCAGTCCAAAACACAAAAAAAAATGACTATCATCCAATATTTTAACTACATCATAACTATATGCAGTTATATAATGCATTCATAACTGTACAATCCTGTTGTAATTTAATGTTATGGCCCAAAAAACATTACACCACATATTGCACACGTGTATGTGTGTTCAAGTGTTAGTGTGCATATTCTTTGAGAAAGTTCGAGTTCCCGTGGGGGGAGGGGGGCAGAGGGAGGGGACACCAGGTGCATGTTGTGAAAAATTGTTACAGTTGATGAAGGGGGTGGGGCTTGGGTGTCTAAAGTCAAAGATGAATCTTGATTGGTTGGGCCAAATTTGACCTAGTCACCCAAAAACAATTCTACTTTTTTTTTAGAGACCTTCAGACTTCGCAAAAATTGTCAAAATCTGTTTTGTAGTGTTTATAGCTGCTGGAGGATATCATGAAGCCTTGTTCCGATAAAAAAAAAAACAAGAATGTAGTTATATAATTTTAACTAAGGGTTAAACTATTAATGTTTTACAGAGATAAGGAAAAGTGTTTTATAATATTTACAGCCCTCCATTCAAACGTGACATATGTACACTTCCTTAAAACTGTCTCATTGCAGTCCGATACATTATATCCAATACATCACCTTTAAAAAAAATTACTTGTTTTTAACAAATGATTCTTTAATAATTCTGATAACAGATTTCATCATGTCTACCTGCAGCAAAAATGACTTTGACAGGTTTTACATAAAACATTTTTTAATCTCTTTGTTCTTAAGAATATTTACACTTTTACTTAATTCATGCATGATTATGTCTAGGATAAGTTGTTAGAATGGATGTGAAGTCCATATTGATCTCCCCTGGCTTCATGTTGGAGAAGTCCACAGTTTTTTTTTTTTAACGCTTCTTGTTCATGGCCAGCATCAGTTCTGACATGAAGTCTCCACCTCCTCCCGCTCCTCCCTGCAGCGATGGAGTAGACCTCTTTGGCGGAGCAGGCGGTACCTTCCTCACTGAGCCGGACTGGACCGGGGCTCTTGGGGCAGCAGGTGGAGGGGGAGGGGGAGGTGGAGGTGGAGGGGGTGCTCCAGCTCCAGTGAACATTGGTGGAGGCGGAGGTAAAAACCCTGGATCTGGCGGTGGAGGAGGCAGGTCCATACTCATTGGGGGAGGCGGCGGTGGTAGGGAGTTCATCGGAGGAGGAGGCAGGGAACCAAAGCCAGTGGATCGAGGAGGGGGTGGGAGGAAGTCGGGCGGGGCCTCCGAGGCATCATCCATGGGTGGCGCCAACGGTGGAGGAGGAAGGCCTCCCATTGCAGGTGGAGGTGGGGGGAAGTTGGTGGGCAGGTGCCGCTGGGGGAGGGCTGGTTTTGAGGAACTCTTGGGAGCCAAAGGAGGTGGAGAAGGTCGGACTGGTTCTGGAGGTGGTGGGGGAAGGAAATTGGCCATAGGAGGGGGTGGGGGTGGAGGTGGGGGTGGGGGTGGGACATTTCCGAAGTCCTGAGAAGAGAGAACACAATGTACAAAATGATGTCTTGAAAAGTATAGAAAGTTTAAAAATAGATTTTGTAGTAAAATAGATTTTGTAATATTCTATACTTAAATATGTGTTAAGAGGTAACATGACATCATTCATGACGTACATGTAGTGAAAACATTGGCTTCCACTCCCTTAAATTCAAGATTCAAAGGTTTATTGTCATAACATATACAAAACTACGGTGTAATTATGTAATGTATGGATAACTTAGATCGCAGGTTCCTCAACAGTGCAATTTACAAGACAAAAAAATATAAAAGACAACAATAAAAATAGTGCAAGCTCGGGTGTTAAATAGTCTTATGGCCTGTAGAATGAAACTGTCCCTGAGTCTGCAGTACCGCCTGCCAGACAGAAATTGTGCCATATCATACATTTAAAGGAGAAAAACATATATAATTATATCGTTTATAGTAGCCTTTTAACAAATACTAGCATATGTAACCTATCAGAGCTCAAACTGGCCCTAAAAAAAGATTTTAAATATAACCAAGATTCCAGCAAAGTTTATATTTGTCAATATTGTCAATTGAATATATTTGAATTCGGCCCAAAGGTAATGTACCTTGGCATTTTTCTAAATGTCTCACCATTTTCCAACATTTTATAAGCTAATCAATATTTATCAAGGGATAAATTGATAACAAAAATAAAACTGTACCTTGGTAATAGGTCCTGGTGGCAGCGTGGGAACATGACCGTTGGCCTGGCTGGGTGATTTAGCTGGCAGAGAAGGAGAAACGCCATGAGTAAAAATGGTGTGCAGGCAACATTTCTAACTAATATAACTACATGTGGGTTGTTTCCCATCAGTGAAACACTCTGTAGGACAGTGTGTGTGGTGCTACCTCTGATGGTGGGTGAGGGTGTTGATGGGTTGGAGCTGGATGGAGTGCTGCAGTTTGTCCAAGCAGAGCCGACGGCTGCCTTCCTCTCTGCGGTTTTATAGTTTTCATACAGCGACTTACCATACTGGAACGGCAAGACACAAACCACAGAGCATGAGTTTTAGTCCAATAGAGAAGATAAAATGTTCCAATCATAAAATGGAAAGGTGTTAAAGTGTACCTTCGCAATCCGTATTCCGGTTACCCAAAGGTTCATTGCATTTTCATCATCGCAGCAGAGGTACTTAATGTACTGAGACTCTTTTTGGATCTGAGGGTGCTGTGGAGACAAATACAAAAGATAAACAGGTTATTTTATCATTTGTTACTATCTTTTATAGGCATGGGACGATAACAGAATTTCATGTCACCATTAAATATACGAGATTCACGATATTGTCTGGAAATATTATGCTTAAAACTCTTAATATGTCCATAACAATACTGCAATGACTTGACATTGGATTTACATTTATTTGTATCTAATCCCTTTAGGACTTTTAAATGTCAAAAAACATAACATAGTTTAATAATAAATCATATGATCCATCTATGTACATAAATGAAATTACATTAGCATTATTGTTTCTTACATGATTCAGCCAGTATTTTTATAATTCAGGCTACATACAGTGAGTGTTTCTGACACAATCAATGGCTTATCATTTGACTCTTGATGGAAATGAAGGTAAAATAATGTTACACACAACTTCACTGAACCCAAATAACCCTGCTTTTATCTCACATTTAATTTGCAATAAGCTGATTTTGCAGTATTTGACCAAAACATGACATACAGTATGGTCTGTGACCTAATTTCAAGCTGTTGTCCACTACTACTACAAAAAAACACACAGGATAAAAACCTTAGACTCTGACTAAATGCTGCAGAAGTTTTTCATACCATGAACCCAAGTCCTTTTCAAAACCTGGGGCCTCATTTATAACGCCTTGCGTAGGATTGACGTAGGAAGGTTGCTTACGTAGTACAAAGCACAAAAATAGGTACATACATTTTCCGCCATTTTCCGATTCACAAAACCTTGCGTACCGGCGAGGGAAGTGCGTACGGCACTTCCTACGCCTGTTTCCCTTTATAAATCACAATCGACTCGTAACGCCCATATTTGCCTATAAATAGTCAAAGAAACGCCCATTCATTCATTCATTTAGACTGACTGCATGAAGAAGATCGCAGGAAATGACAACAGAACCGCTAAAAAAGACATCTCACACCGTGTCAGATTTAGGTTATTTTGGGGAGGTCGAGATAAATCATATTGTTTGGTGGATGCAGTTTGAACCAGAGTAGCAGCATGGAGGTCGGATCGTCACCAAAATAAATAAATAAGTGGTCCGAAAAAAGATAATGACAAAAAAAATACACATAACCTTCCTCAGGCAGTGTGTTTGTACTGGGGACAGGAGACACCCCCTTAATGAGAAACTGTAAGAAATGATCGGGGAATCCCTCCGGAGTGGAGTCATGACGACTGGATCTGAATTATTTTGTTGTATTTGGTGGTTTGTGTTCCAGCTGTCGATCAGCAACTATATATCCATAATCCACCAGTTAAAGGAAATACAACTAATGTGTTGTGTATTAGCTGTACAATTTACCACATATGGTGTTCTTAGTTTCCATACCTCCTGTGTTTTACGAGCAACTTATCAAGTCTTGGCAAACGGCATAAAACACGATTAAACGTGATAGTATATAAAACCATGCTCGTATCTACAACCTATAGAAATGCAAAACGGCGTCAGTTTAGACGTAATTCTGTCCTCCTGCTTACCGCATCATTTATGAGAAAACATTTCATAACATTAACACAACATATTCGAGGTGGTTTTAAATAACATATCCGTATTTATTTATTTCTCCAAGTTATGTTTTTGTGTGCACTGAGGAGTCTCAAACAGGCGTTTGTTTAATCATTTTAAGATTGGCTTTAATCAATGTTTGAAAATGAATTCTTCATATTTGATAAATGAGAGGTAACATTTTATTTATGGTATTATTTCCACATATTTCTCTCCATTCTTCCTTCTGCCAACGGTGTCGCAGTTTCTCGTCTCTCCCGTTTGTGTGCTTAGTGCGTACGCATGGGTTTGAGTTTGCGTGGAGGACAGCACATTTTCCCGTCAAGTTAGTATTTTATAAATCGCAAACATTGCGTAGAAACTGGCGTACGCCATTTTTTGAGCGTATATCCCTTTATAAATGAGGCCCCTGGACACAACATTACCCACAATGCAACTCAAGTACAAACAACACTAACAGAATCAGGTGTGCTGTGCTAAGAGCGGCTAATGGACACTCGAGTCACCAGCGTAATTTATTTTCATCTACACCCGAAGATTTTTTCATTTTCAAACTTGTAGTCTTAAACAATAATGATGATGACGATGCTGACTCAAGTGACATCACTTCAGGCAATGTACACGACATTTTTGTGTAAAATCTTTGGAGTTCGCTTTTAAAGGTAACACAAGGGGGCAGAGTGAGTCTAGTATCAGAGTGTAAATGGCCTAATCCAGTTAAATGGATGCTATATTTTTTAGTTCATGTTCTATGGCAGCGGTTCCCAACCTGTGGGCCGCGGTACCCTAGTGGTCCGCGAAGGCATTGCAAGTGGGCCGCCAAATAATCTTTCTTTTAATTATTATTTTTTTTGTACAGGCTAAAGACACAAACATGGACATAACAATAACATATTGGAAATGAAATTCCCATCTCAGACAAAAACAAAACAAAAACAGAAGAAATAAAGATACAGTCAGTAGGATCACTTCAACATTTCACAAACAAAAATAGGTTGACAACCAAATACCACCAAAAACACAACATGGCAAGCATATTGTTCCTTTAATCCCACTCTTCGTTAGAGCAAATTATTTCCCATTTCATGACGTGTTGAGCCACCCTTTGATTTTTTGTGGCAATCATTTTTTCCAAAAGAAATTGTATTTTTAATCTACTCTTCAAACACCTTAAATTAAGATTACTCCTTGATTGACTTTTAAAAATATGTATTTTAGCCAGAAGAATAGTTGTATTTATTAACTGTGTGCAGTCTTCATCTAACAGCCCAAATAAAATATTAAAGGGTGTAAATGTAAATTCAATATTTGCCGCCAAATTATTTGCAAAACATTATGATTTGTGTGGAAACATTTAGATTATTAAGATTTTTTTATTTTAACTGCTGTTACTCCAGTTAGCATTGTTGAACATGAGCAGATTAGAAAAAACGTTGCTCGTTGCTCCTTCAGCTCAATCCTTGAAAACTCCATTTTCTGCTCATAGGTAATTCAGTTTCATGCCTCTCCAAGCTCTTTTTGCTCGGATCCTCAACAACTAGTATATGGTATCTGCTGATTCTAGTTTTTCCCTGAGAAGATAGGAGGAAGATAATAAAAGTAGACTTTCACTTCCCTTTAAAACGCACTACCATCTTGTTCTGGCTTTTTTCATGTTAGTCAGCACTTCTTGGTCTTGAATAAGTACCGCTAGTACCTCCCATTACAGTTTTTTAATTAAATGCGTGGGGCTTTCACAGTAACTACATTTGGAGAAATATTAGGAACTGCTTAAGCGGTCGTCTTTCTTTCTCGCCACTTTCAGCTAAATTGGATAAAAGCTTCTCCTTTCACTTCTTCAAATGAAACTATTTATTGCATTTCTCGTTTTCAGCCAAGTAAGCAGCTGTAGCTGACCAAATACTCAGAAACTACGGTACATTAAGCAATTCTGCATCGAAACAGACAGACAGACAGACAGACAGACAGACAGACAGACAGACAGACAGACAGACAGACAGACAGACAGACATACACTAGCCTTTAGATAGATAGATAGACTCAGGTCTAACAGACAATACAATTCATCCATACAAGTTGACTCCCCAGTACAGATCGTGATTCTAAAGACTGGATTATTATTTCCATTATTTAAAGTTTGATATAGGCCTCATAACACCTACTACTTCAACAGCAAAACTGACAGGGCATAAAGAATGTTGGTGTTCTCGGTGTAGGGGAAGTTACAGCATATTAAAAGGGCGTGAGTGTGGACCTTTTATTCTAAATGTGACCACAAAATAAACATCATGCTGCATTGAAGAAGACTTGTAGCAGATTGAGACCATAAATAAAGTGAGAAGTAGGTACATTTTTCTCATAGACTTCTATAAAGATTTTTTTATACCATTTGTTGCTACCAGCTGGATATTAGAAATAATGGAGCAATGTTAAGTTAACTTACCTTCAGAAAAAAGCAGCAGTCAGTTGGGGCTTTGTATTTGCCCTTAAAGTCTTTACCGTAGTAGACATTTACATTGTCAAACTGGACAAAGCAGACCAGGTCACGGGATGACTGAAAAAGAGATAATGGTTCATATTAGACATTCTGTTCAGTTGTTTATTTGTTTGACTTTTGAATTGATCATCTACTAGAATGCTACATTAAACGATGCATGAAAGAAGAATGTGGTTAATAAAGCAGAAAGACTATCAAGGACTTTACAGGCCCAGATAAACTAACCTTATATATTTAATAAGGTTTCAGTTGAAACAAATATTTCTATATCATCTTTCACTAGTTGCTTGAGTCTTGAATATATGCATGATTAGAGCATTAGCTGCTGGATGTGTGATTTTATTCTGGTCTCTGCCACACAAAATGTCCCCTTATGACCCCTGACCTTGGTTTTCCCTTTGGGCACATAATAAATTCCCGAGGCCCTCAGTTGGAAGAGCTTTGGTTTCCAGGACTTCTTGCCGTCGTCTTTGAGGTGCATCACCCCCTCAAGATCAGGCACAATGATGGAAGTCCCGCAGAAGTTCTCCTGCAGAGTTGAAGAAGGGATGAAAGGGGTCAATGTGAGGAGCGAAATGCAATATTTCACTTGTGGTTTGTGTGCTTATTCATGAGTCTATTTACCTGGATTAGTAACTCCTTGTCTTGGTCTTTCATGTCTTTGAGAGATTTCTTATCCTTCTTCCATAGATAAAAGTTCTGCAGGAATAAAACATTAAAAAGGGAATTACTGAATGTCCTCACCTTCCTTTAGCATACCAGCAGGTTTACATTTGTGAAATGCCTCAACAACTGGTATTGACATGTACAGTAGGTTATTGAAAAACTTTACTTTGTGTTAAGCAGCTGTTACCATTCAAACACTGCAAACTTAACATGTTAACAATATACATGCTAAACAATCATCAGGAGGTTAGCGTTGTCATTTGAACATGTTAGCATGCTCACATTAGCACTTAGCTTAAAGCAGCCTGGTGTGTCAGGGCCTTAACACCCGCTCTACCAGATGAGCTACTGGGGTGTCACAAACTATTTTAAACATTATAATTATTTCAAAGAACATTTTTCCTATTAAATATCAGAACAAAAATGTTGGCTACGGGCATCTTAAATATTTATTTTAGTTTTCTAAAACCCTACACTTTGTCCCTGTGTGACTGGGCTTATTTGATTTTATATCATAGTCTCTGCATATGTTTTCATTGTGGCGAGTGAAAGCCCAAAAGGGAATTCTATTTTAGTAGTTCTGGTAAAAAGTTGAAATTGTATACTGATAGGGACCTACTGTATAAAACAGAGTGTCCTTTTGTTAGAGAATGTGGAAGCCATGATGGAGTACTTAAAAAATGAGAATATCTCACTATTTTCCACCAACTATTTGTCTCAGCCAACAGACCGATTACATTAAATACAAAGGGTCCTATTATTTTAACAAACATGCCAAGATCTCCCTGTCATTTGCCTGATGCTGTTTAGTTTGATATATTACAGTGAGGGCATAAATGTAAAGGGTCATCCTGCAAGGAAGAAAGACATATCATAATTCAGGCAACAATTCATCAGTGAAAATACCCAGATGCCGCTGAGCTGAAACAATGTTGAGATTTTCACAAACCAAGGCCAGGAAAAATGAACTAGCCAGTGTAGGAGTTTAGAGATATTACACGCACATCACTTCTAGTCACGCAGCATATTTTTAGAGAGGTATATAAAGATGCAGACAATAAGAAGACCAACCTGTGGGTTTTTGAAAACCTCATATTTTTCCCCTCGCTCCTGAAAGAGTAGTTTGTTCTCGCTGTCTCTTGTCCATGCTAAGAGTGGCTCCACAAGGTTCTCATGGTCTTCAAACGTACGTTCTGTCAACGAAAAAAGAAAACTTAAATGTCAGCTAACTAGAATAGGTAGTATTCAGTTTGTCGAGTTTAACATACGTTTTTGCGACTGTGTCATTGCATTGAAGCTCATCCAACTATATTTTTGGTTGGTTGATTACTGCTCACCTCTGCAGTAAACACAGCGATTAAAAAAATGTTTTTCAGCACATACAAAAACGAATGCTAATTCTCTGGAGACTGGAGATGTATCTTCTACGTCCATATCTCACACTGTTATGCAATACATTACTGTTTAAACCGGAATCGGCCTCAAGTTTAATCTCACATAATATCCTCTCTGTCCCCTCTTTTTAGTGTTGTGCTATAAATCACTTCAAAACAAATGCTTTACCATATGTACAGTAGTTCACTCTGTCACGAAATCTTGAAATCTGCAGGTTCAAATTCAGTTTCACAGCTGTACAATTGTCTATTTCAAATGGGATGAATCAAGGAAGGGCTCAATAAAACGCAAACCTCCCCATCACGCTGGGAGCACTTTAAATGGCACTAAACCTCGAAAACACATTAAGGGCACTTCCCCCTCCCCCTCCCACTCCTCCTGTCTGCCCACCCACACACTGAGTGCCATAGATCTGCAGAATGCACTGGGCATTGACTGTAGTTCAGCCCTGCTCCCCAATTACAGGTTACCAGAGGTAGGCATTACATAAATTGCTGCCAGGGTTCCACTCTATAGTTTGACTATTACAGTCATTAAATGCATGGTGTGACTTTGCTTCTAGAGTGATTTATTTGGAGAAAGAAATCCCTTTGAACTGCATTAACCACATGGTGCGTTTCAATAGTATGCATGGTGAGCATATGGGTGGATTTAACAGTGAAGATTAGTTTGACGTGTTGCTGTTGAGCTCTTTGGGTGTTAATTAGGCATGACCTGCCTTAGCATTCTGTCAGTATAATACTGAGAACGCAACACACTCAGGAGTTTACAGGAATCTAAAAATAAACGTACTCTAACAGTTTCCATTGTCAAAGTGTCATACGGCCTTGTTAGTAAGAGATGACACAAGACCCCGAGCTCATGAGTCAAATAACTTGAATGGATGACATTCTTTAAATAAATCTGTGAGTCAGGAGCTCATTTAATCAAGGGCCATAATTTAGTTAAAAATAAACTGTGTTGACCAAAGGGAAACAATAATTTCCTCATTTTCTGTGTACTGGCACAATATATGATGATTTTGCATAACGAAGCTGTAAGAAAACCAGAACTTATAAGAGTGAGTTCCTGGTTTATGAACAGTAGTGATTATACTTCTTGTAAGGTTATTATAACCAACTAATATAAATTGTGTGATTTAAAGTACAAGAACCTATACATAAATAGTCTGGAAGAACTATTTCTGCGCAATGCTTTGAGTAAAACAGTTTTCTGTAAAGATATTTGCATCAAAATTTCAATTTGCTATCATTTGTCCTCTTTAACTATCTTACCCACATGACACACCATGGCATTGGAGGCATCCTTCACAGATAATGTACATGGACAGTAGGTTGTTCTAAGCCAACCCAACTTACACATAGCCTCAGTAAATAGCCTTCTAACATGCCGAATAAGTATAAACGCACTGCTGAAGATAGTCCCCAAAAATGCCCTTTTTATTCCTGTCTATATTGCCTTATACTAGTGCCCAGCATTTTCTTTTATTATTCATCCCCTTTTTTTAAATATAAAAAAGCATGCTGGGAAATGTTCTAATAGAATTTGATAGAAAAATGTAATATTAAATCCAGGCTTATCCTTTAATTTAAATTCTTCACAGCTTAAGCTGCATATAGAATCACTTAAAAAGTAATATCAAGCTAAATAATATTGACATTCATTTCACTACTCACAGAGGTTAATGACTTTACCACCAGTATCTCATCAAAACAATTTCGGGAAGGTGTAAAATGACTCCCCATTCGATTCGTTCTTTAAATATATGTATTATCTCCGTAACAATCTGATGAAGATGTTATAAAACAGAGAAAACAGATGGTAATGAGTGAAGTCCGGCAGCTCAATTAGATACAGCACAGACAGCTCAGATGGAGGATTGAGATCATAAGGCTTCAATTTCCGAACGAGGATGACTGACAGTGTCCGATAAAGCAAATCAAACCCACCTGTCTACACTGTGTGTGTGTGTACGTGTGTGTGTGTGTGTGTGTGTGTGTGTGTGTGTGTGTGTGTGTGTGTGTGTGTGTGTGTGTGTGTGTGTGTGTGTGTGTGTGTGTGTGTGTGTGTGTGTGTGTGTGTGTGTGTGTGTGTGTGTGTGTGTGTGTAGGAAAGAGAGGAGGAGTGAGAGAAAGACGGAAAAGGAGTAAGATCAACGTTTCATTGTGAGCTCACTGCAAAATGGCTGCCATCGTGCCAATAAAAACACAGTTTGTCACCGGGACTGGAATGAAATATCGCACCCTGCATATCGTGTGCGCATGTGTGAGTGCATGCCTGTACTTGAAGTCTATTTATCTTATTATTCCTGTTCCTTCTGTTTCTGTTGGTACATTTTCTGCCAAGCTCACTTCTATTTCTGAAATCACAACAAAGGTATATCTGAAGTTTTTATTGAGGTTCCTTTTACTAACATTTTGGTGAAAACTGCTGCTGGAAATACACCAAAGTATTTAAATTTCTCCCCTGAAAATACTTTACCTGCCAGAGTGTTTAAAACAGCTAATATTTCTTAAATTGACCACAGATTGAACCACTATGGTATCAACTTGTGGCAACAAATCAATGGTGATTGTGGATGGATTTATCTGTAAACCCTCCGTAGCTGAGAATGGGTTTCATTTCACATGTTTGAAAACTTCAAAATCTGTATGCTGATGACACACAGATTTATGGGTCTGTATCTTCGGATAAAACAAAGACCTAGTGATGCTATTTTAGAGTGCCAAAATGTAAAGAAACATTTTTAGAACATCTGTTAGTTGCACTAACCTATGTGAAAGATTGATTTATAGCTTATTGAAATGCAGTCGTCAACCACATGGTACACTTTATTAGGTGGTATTGCAGTAGCTCACCAAGTTGCAGTTCAGGGTTGGTTTCACACAGGCTCCAGTCCACGTTACAGTCACAATGAGTTTTCTCAAACAGGTTGTCCAGAACTTCCCTCACGCTCTGCCTCTCATCCACCATCAGAGTCTTCGCGCTGCCGTCATTCATCAGCACCTTCACCACCAACTGTCAGAAAAAGTGGCTTGATAGTTAGAATACCAATCACATTTCTGCAAACATAAGTAATATCTGTTCATGTTTATTAGGGCAGAGTGGGGTAAGTTGAGCAAGTGGGTAAGTTGACCCATTTATCTTGGCAATTATGCATATTTGTTGTCATGTGACACGGAATTGAGGAAGCACCCATAATTACTATTTGGCTGTGGTGGATAGAAGCACATGGTAAAGTGGTAAATATGTTTTTTCATAATAAACCATGTTTTACTTGTCAAAGTAAATGTTCAACATGTCAGGTAAAATTACTGTTATATCAAAGCAAATGTATCCAGGTCTGAAAATATTTATCATACATGTTGATTAGCAAGGTGTAAAACCATGTGAATTATTTAGCTAAAGATAAGCATGAAGCACTAAGCTAGACAGTGTTTTTCCCAAAAAGTGGCTATGGGGCAAAGTGAGCCAGAGGTTCAACCTAACACTGAGGCACGAGGCACTGAAGTTAATATTTCCATGTAGTTTAACACAACTGTTTTTAGCTTGTAAACATTGTAGAAAAGCTATCATGCCAAGAGAGTACAAGTGAAAGACTAAGGAGATGGAGAGAGCCACAATTGATGGCAAGGGAGGAAAATCCATCAGGGCAGTGGCAAAAGACAAAAATATTGACAGGTCAACCCTGTGTAGATAAATAAAAAGGAAGGAGGAAAAAGAAGTGAAAACAGTAGGGTACAGTGGAGCAGCAGAGGCAAAGAGGCAAGTTAAGCCACAAGACAACTTTTTTGTCATATATTCATGGCTCTTTGTGATAGATGCATGACTTTGATCGACAGAAGACATTGTGAAATAACGGCCCTTTTTGTGATTTGAATTGTATCTGATTTTTCCTTGCTTAGATGACAACATAAGTACATTATTACATTTACATTGTTAATTAAAAGACAATAACATTAATGTATTAATAAGTCACATTCAAATAACTGTATTGGATATTTGAAATGTCTTAATCAATGTAACCTGTTGGCAACTGTTTCAAACGGTCAAATAGGAAGTGAACACTTATAATTGTCTTTAACCTCTTAAGCACGGCGGTCCCCCCATTGGACCCCTCCCACCGTTTTTTTTTCGAGATAATGTCTCAGGGCTTCTTAACATTTATGAAACTATTAATGTGTAGCACCAGATTAACGGGAAGAATCTCAGCTAACTGAAGATATGAACCAATTTTACCAAAACAAAACACAAGTCTCATAAGAAGCGTCTAAATGACCCCTGAGCGAAAAAATTCTAACGCACTGCGGCACACAATTCAAGATAAAAATACCCTTATTACTTATCGTAGCTGCACATACAATATAGCAGATTAAAGCTGAGACTCCACTGATTATTTAGGTATAGTATTATCACTGAGCGATCCGAACTTGCGACAGGGGAAGCAAACACAGACATCACAACACGTACCTTTACGGAGCTTTTACGGCAGATCGTCTCACCGTAGCTGTCAATTAGGTCAAAAGACGTGTTCAATGGCATTAAAACGAAAAAAAAAAAATACTACTACTGTTGATCCATAGGTTGATAATGTACCTGTGCCTTTAAAGAAATTATTTATAATCCATAATTCCATTTTTTATGTAAAAATCGGAGCGGAAAAGTTAGCTGCTAATGGTAGCCACCAGAGTGTATGCAGCTTCCGGTTTTGGTAACGCGTCACTCTCACTCCTTGGTTGCAGTCGAATAGTCCATTTAGCTTAGGAATCTATGGGCTCAGAACAGTCTCATAATACACACATGCACACAGAAGGATTCACACTTGTATTTCATGATCCGCAAAAGGATTCACACTTGTATTTCATGATCCGCAAAAGGATTCACACTTGTATTTCCGGATCCACAAATGTGTTCAGTTTCATATACATGTAAATAAAATCCAAATACAGAAAAAAGTTTTACATATGTATTTTTGATCCTCACATATTTGTTTTCCGTATAAATCCTCTGAACCTGCAAACACAAACCGCTTTCTGTGCATGGATCGCTGTGCATTTGTGTGTGGGTTTTTTGAGACTCCCCTGACGGTGACCCGATTCGTACTTGTAATTTTTTCTATCTATAGCCAATCAGATGTCTCCTCAATTCTAAGCCAATCACATGAGCGCGTCCCCACGAGGGTATGATTTATTGCGTTCCATGACACTTCATATACGCATTTTGCGCTGTCCGGAGCAGGGTTTCCGCGGACAGAATTTATTTTACCGGACAAATTTGAAACTTACCGGTCATGTTTCAATAATAATAATAATAATAATAAGAAGAAGAATTGTGTAGCAGAGTTTCCGTTAGCAGGTAATTACCGGACTATGACCGGATATGGCTAATAACACGGGAGTAATGGATCCCCTCTTTTCCTCTCTCCCTCCCTCTCTCCTGACAGCCCGTCAGTTTCTCATGCAGCTCGCTAAAACTTCACTCGCGTTTATGTCCATATCGATCAGATCCAGCTCTCCTGATCGGCCTTTATAGAGAGCACCGATCAAACTATTAAGAGTGAATATCGGCCGATAATGACCGGCGGTGTTCCCCCCGTTGACAGTTCACTGTCTAGCACTGGCTTCGTAGTGCACTGATCGATTAAGCTAACCTGTAGCTGCTCCCTCCACACTCACAACAACTTCATACAGACATAAATAAAGCAGCTGTATTCGCCATACAGGAAACACACATTTAAAACGGTTTTGCCTGCCGTTTTTGTGTACACAAGCATTCATTAATGGTTCGGAAAGTGGCACTGTACCTTACTAATATAAAGGCTTGTATTTGCGTGCATTTCCTGCTCGGAAAGTGGCAATGTACTGAGAGTGGAAGTGTCCTGAGATTAGCGCCTGCAGGCAGGCTCCATGGACCTGTCAGCTCCAGACAGCGCAAAATGCGTACATGAAGCGATACGTCATGAACGCAAGAAATCTACCCTCGTGGGGGCGCGCTCATGTGATTGGCTTAGAATTGAGGAGACATCTGATTGGCTATAGATATAAAAAATTACAAGTACGAATCGGGTGACCGTCAGGGGAGTCTCAAAAAACCCACACACGAATGCAGAGCGATCCATGCACAGAAAGCGGTTTGTGTTTGCAGGTGCAGCGGTTTTAAACGGAAAACAAATATGTGAGGATCAAAAATACATATGTAAAACTTTTTTCTGTATTTGGATTTTATTTACATGTATATGAAACGGAACACATTTGTGTGTGCATTGAAAAACACAAGTGTGGATCCGGAAATACAAGTGTGAATCCTTTTGCGGATCATGAAATACAAGTGTGAATCCTTCTGTGTGCATGTGTGTATTATGAGACTGTTCTGAGCCCATAGGAACCTTCCTAACGGAGTGAAATGACCCGGAAGTCCCTCAGTGGCAGCCATGATAAGTGCCGTTCGAATTCTCTAAATTAAAAGGAAAGGAGGTTTCAATCTTCCTTTATAACCTCCTTTAGCTTAGGAACCACTGGACCTCCCTAACCTAAAGGAGAGGAGAACATGCTGCCTCACAATGCCTTGCGGCCGCAGCATTTGCCGTCACACAACAGTTGGCCGTTCACGGAAACAACCGATTATGAACGAGAAATGATATCATGAAAGTTACGGTGCTTATTAAGCATTTTAAAACGTATGTGGTAAGTTGCCAAAGTGCTTTGTTTTGAACGTTCATCAGTATTATAATCAAAAAGAGAAATATGAACGTTAGTTTTTACTGAAATGATCAAATAAAGTCAACATTTCACAGTCTTTACTGAGCTGTGTGGGGTTTGTTCAACTTTTAAAAGATGTTTGAATGGTGATATACACAGTGATAGATGTTAAGGACTAACGTTTATAATAAATACATTTGTATTGATTTTAAGATCTTTTCATACAATCATACGTATTGGGATCATTTGTATTAATGAGGACTGGAGGGAGAGGGTGACGAGCATAAGTTTCACTTTCCTTTTTTATTTCAATTCCAACTTCGGTCATGAAGAATATGTTTCTCTGTTGTCCCCGTTCATAAAGCATACAACAACAGCATCAGAGCACGGTGCAGAGTCTCTAGATGAGTTTACAGTAGTCCCTCGTTCTTATTAAACATCCATGTTGTAGTCCGCTGTATAGAAAACTGTAGTTTCCATAGTTTCCCCACAGCAGCAGGCGCACATTTATGACCTCCGCTGGCGCATCATAAACACGTCGGATAGTGAAAGTGCAGTCGGATTCTCTAAAGTGCCGCAGTCTCTTCTCCTAAATCCTTTTGAATTCTCCTATCCACTATCCCTTAACCCCATGACGTTTCACTCCGAGGTCAAGGAATAGACTTAGGAGCTGTTTTTTTGGAGTATTCAACCGCAACCCGAGTTTGTTAACGTTTTGGTGTGTATAGAACTTTCCCTCGATTCCATTGGCTCTAGCGGTTATAAAGAGATTTCATTCATCAAAATCGACCAAGGGGGGCCAGAGATAGGTCAAATCCACCCAAATGACACCAGAAGTGGGGGTTTTTGGCTAAATCTCTCTAAAAAGGTCAAATTTCACTTGTTTTGCATCAATCTTGATACAGGGTACTTATTATATGTTGTACTTTGGATTCCTAAAGCTTTTAGTCTACTAACCCATCATCCAAGGGTAGTTTGCACTATAAGTAAAAAAGAATTTTTGGACGGACACTATAATTTACAGTTTTTTACTATGTAAAATCTGAATTTTCTTTAAAATAAAAAACATCTATATTGATTCTGACTTTTCTACATCCAACTCACAGGTTTATCATTACTTTGAGAGTAAAGATTATTAATTTAACCCTTTTAGAAGGGAAGATATGGTCATTTGTTCTGGGAATGTCATTTTCGAGCCTGAGACCTGAAAAACAGGCTCAGGGCTTAACAGGTTAAGAGGAAACCAAGACCATTTTGGTTCTTTTCATTATTTCAGGAAAAAGTCGATAAAGTACACCAAACAACTTAAAGGGGACCTATCATGCAAAATGCACTTTTGTACGTCTTTTATAAATGAATATGTGTCCCCGGTGTTCCAGGGAACTCACCAAGTGTCAGAAAACACAACCCTCTCTATTTTCCTCCATACCCAAATCTCTAAAAAAGGGGCTGCAACGGATCTGATACAGACTGATCCAGATTTGAACACTTCTATTACATCACAGAAGTGGCGCTACGGCTATTGGGCCAACTCTCCACCTATCAGGGGAATGTGGGGTTGGGCCACGGCCGGCCATTGCCGCTCGAAAGCGCTGGAGACGCTGTAGTACATATGCCAGGCCTGTAAGTGGCGCTGTAGTCTGCCACAAAAGCAGCGAAGAAGACTTCCCGCCCATAGTTACCATGGTTACCCTTCTGTTTATTCTCCGCTGTGGCTTTTTTTCTCCCTCCCCGAGGCAAGCGTTTGCCCCCCGCTGCTTTAATTCAATGCAATCCCTCCCCGTCGAGGCAAGCACTGTAATTCTCTCCGGTTAGTCCACCAGCAGATGACAAACACCCACCTCTCCGCCTCTTCCAAGGAACGAGGGGACCGTGCGGCAGAGTTTCAGTTTCAGTTTCTTTCGCCGGTCAAGATGTCCGTTAAAGTTTAAATCTTCCGGACAAAATTGAAAAGTGCCGGTCAAAGGTCTTCTTTGTTATTTATTGAGCTTTAAAACAAATGAATAACGACTCTATATAATAAAACACGGAGGACGGAGATCTTTTTTTCTCCCCCTCTTGACTTCATCAGAGCACGGCTCCCCTGTCCTGCAGGGGGGCGTGGTCAGCTGCAGCTCACAGAGATCAGCCCCGTAGACAGCAAACAGCACATAGAGCGAAATGAGGCATGGCTAAAATGCATGATCTGTTTTGTATTTTGAAAACAGAAACGTATAAATATACCTTATATAGGTATGGCCCTACAATATATCATTTAAATATAGCATGATAGGTCCACTTTAATATTCCAGGTAAGCACAATTCGAAATATGACTAGCAATGTTTTTATTGCTTTTAATAGATGTTTTATTTAATTGTAGTTGTAGTTGAAATAGCATCAGTTAAGGAGAGTTGCAGGAAAATGGCTGGATTTGTGAGTTTTTGGTTCTAACATGACGATATCCCCTACTAGACAGATTGAAGTTAAAATGTCTTGTGGACAGCAGCAGGTGTCTAAAGTGTGATATCAAATGAAGCCTTGAAGTACATGCAGCTTGTTTATTATCCAGTTTAATTACAGGCTACGTAGTAAATGGCTGTTACTGTTTCCTAAGAGGGTTAGAGCAGCAGCATTTATATCTCTCTGTTCTGTTGAACTTATTTGGCTTTTTAAGTAATTTCCTCCACATTTTATTTGTCCCTTTTTGCAGTGGGCTGAATTTAATTTTTCTCTGGAGCAGAGCAATGCTTTCGTCACAGGCTCATATGGCTTTGCACTTCCTCTCATCTGAAACAAATCCACATTTTGGAAGCTGAGAAGTTGAACAGAACCAAGGTCAGCCAGTCGCTTGGCGTGTGTCATAAGAAATGTGGGTTTCACAGATGTTATCACCATAGTATTTAGAGTGTTAGATCACATGGCTCGACCCTCCCTGCAATACAATATGGATTCAGCATGTAGTGGAATTAAATGTCACTGGATATCTGATTATTTTCCCTCTTACAGTACTTCCTCATGCAAGCCAGTTATCTTAATAATACATGATCCGTGTCGAATGCTTGTTCCGGAATCAGTTGTTTTATCTGAAACTTAAAGGCCTCTGACCACAGACGGTTGTTCTGAAACCACTGAGGCGCACCTTGCTTCTAACACCATTGGAACAGATGTTCCTGTGAAAGTGCCCACTGCTCTGTTTCCTCAGCATCCACACACATATGGCAAAGTGGAAAAGCCGTTTTTACTGGTTTCTTTTAGATTTTTTTTTTGTTCCTTCACTTTTTTCAAAGCATTTGTAATTACTAAAAAGAAACAGGCCATAAATGCAGTCACAACCATATAAATTGTAAGACTTCTCCAAACCACGAGGCAGACATATCATCAATCATATCACATATGATGAAAGTGTTAGCCTTTTTGCACATCTTGATATGAAGCTTTGCATGCAACACTACATGTCTGTTTTTTTGTTGACTGCTTTGAAGCTGAGTGTCCACATATCACCCAAAGAAGGGAAACAGTGCTGTCCTACAGGAAGTTAGCTACATGAAAGAAGCCATCCATCACTATGATTGATGGCCCTTCCAAAGGAAAGGAAAGAACCAAACTATCTTTGATCATTTTGTCTTTTACAGTGATGTCCATGTAGCCGTAATTCACAACATTTTATGTTGCCAGTGGATGTAAGATCAGAGGAGTACAGTACAGGGTTTAGCTTTCTTACCTTTTTTACTTTAGCTTCCTTGAGCTTCTCAAGAGCCAGCTTGATTTTGTCTGCTTTCATCTGCGCCTCGATTTCCTCCTAAATAGGACAAAAATACATTACGTTATAGTGCATGTTCATCCACTATGAGTTATTATCTAGTAGGGGTTATACATTAGCATCATTGTGTTAAATCTACGCTACCATACTTTGGCAAACAACACAGAGAAATCATCTTTGATGTCGGAAACTGCACACAGACCAATAGCAAATATGCCTTGTGTATTGATTAGAAGATTGAAACCACTCTCATATATTTACAAACAAATTTGAAGCTACAGCAAGCAGTCTGTTAACTTAGCATAGCATACAATTGTCTAGGGGGAAAACAGAAAGGCTGACTAATTTCAAAGGAAATAAACTCTGCCAGATCCTAAAAACGGATCAGATGCACATATTATTTTCCACTTTTGTTTACAGCGCGAGACAGGCAGGCTCTGCGCACATTACAATTGACCTTCTAAAGACACTTTTTCAAGTTAAGATTAAACCAACAAGCCAAAAACACATTTAGTTGTGAGTTGGAGGTGATTGCAGGTGCATTTTAATACCCTGAGACAGAGCCAGGTTAGCCTTTTCCCTGTCTCTAGTCTAAGATAAGGCGATAGCTTCAGCTTTATAAATGAAAGTGGAATTAACATTCTCATCTAACTCTCATGAGATAAGCCAAAAAGTGTGATTCCCATAATGTTGAGATATGCTATGAGAGGAAAATATTTTAATCTGGGTAGATCATTTTTGCGGATGTAGCACTTCAACTGCTGCACAGGAGGTGGAGTGTTTAATTTAAGGTTCATAACTTCATGTGTGAAATGTGCATTTAGAAATTTCATTTGAGACATTAGATCTAATCTACAAAATCTCCATTAGCAGGGATAGGATACCCTTTCCTTTGGCTTATAACTCCTGCCTACAGTGCAGTTTAAATGAACTTGCACACCTCTTCCTAACAATGACACATTCTCTGCCTCAGCACAGATGGTGATTTTACCTCAGAGGGATGAGGTAACAAGCACTGCTAGCAATAAGCTCCAGTCTGGCTTCACCCCCACCAACACTACCACTCCCCTTCCCCAACTTTTCGTATTGATCCTGTTCCTTTCCTGCTGCATGTGTTTGATCTTTTCCAGACAGACTCACGGCTGTTTCGTGTCACACGTCTCTGCAACTGTAACAGATGCCTCCATCCAGGAACAACTTTGCCATGATCTCATCGTCTCAACTGTTATAAGAGCAATACCACTCTTCCCAGTTCGACAAAGGCAAAAAGAAATCACTAGAAAGGAATATGCTGGGAACTGGTGCAAGGTGTTTTTGTTGTAACAGTGTCTAGTCACGCACGGCTCAGGAAGTGAATCGGTAAATCAAGACACACCTCTAATTATAACAGAGATTATAGCATTATTGCTCTTGCTATTACATTTTAAGAGCTTAATAATGTGAAGAATGTGTCTTTTCTTTTTCAATATCTCCAGCTAGCAAGATGTGACAGCCAGCATTTGTTTTCAAACTGTATCAACCAAACTCTCTTGGTTAAATCTCTCACCTCTTAAATGTTGGATCAGTTCCAAGTAGTACAGAGGTCAAAAGGTAATTGCAGATATGCTACTCTCATTTTACAAACTCTAGCTGACTCACCCTTGTAGGCTTTGCAGTCTGAGGAGGTGGTAAAGGGGAGGTGGTGGAGGAGGTGGGGGTGCTAACATTGCTGCTGGTGCTGATCGCTGGTGATGCTGGGGAAACGGGTGAGGAGGTGGGACGGGGGCTCAGGCCCTGAGGCGGGGGTGGCAGGTCAGGCGGGGGCGGTGATGGCACTTTCAGACCTTGCATCTCTGCTGCAAGTTTCTGTTCCGTAGCATTCAGGTCCGCAACCAAATCCGCCATGAGCGCATCCAAATCGGTGTCTTCCAATTCATGGAGGGAGTCTGATGTTAGAAGAAAGTCTGATTATTTGTTAGGAACTGACCTAGGAACAGTATCCCATTTCAGTATATTCAGTAATTCTACTGAATTTCCCCACAGGGATTAATAAAGGTCCATCTTGTCTTATCTTATCTTAATTCATTATTCATAATTCATTTGTGTTACCTCTCTTTTAAAGTATTTGACCAGTGAGTCAACTAGCCCTAGTTCCTTTTTAGAAATGATTCGAGCGTTTTCAGTAAGAACTTTCATTTTTTTACAAGTTCTTCTTTTCTCTGTGTCATATTCAAATTCAATGTTCTACAGTACACCTTTCAAATGGTAATATTACTCTATGCAAAATTAAAGATTAAGAATACATTGAGATATGTAACATACATATGTGGTCGCTAGAAGTCAATTCTAATGACGTTGGTGTTCAACTACTGATTTGATCAATTAAAAATGACTTTTATGATACCTTAACCACCATCAGGTTAACATCTCATATTTGGGCAAGACAAAAAACCTGCTAAACTAATGGCTTTACCATCAGCTTCAGCCTCATTTGTGTTCAGTGCTTTTTAGCATATGCTAGCATGCTAAAACATTAGCATGTTGATCTTGTCATTGTGATAATATTAGCATGTTGATGATAGCATTTAGCTTTAAGCACAACTGAGAGCTACTAGCATGGTTATAAAGTTTTAGTCTTGTTAAAAAAAACATTTATTCTTTGATTGATTGTTTTTTAGTTTGATATATGAAGGTTTATAATCCTTGTAAAGTAGTTGGTGGTGAAAAGCTGATACAGACAAAAACACAAGACTTAAAGAAGAATGCTAATGCCAGAGGCCAACACCGAACAATTAGCACCTACAGCAATCTTCGTCTAAAATCACCTTTTAAACAGTAGCCAAATATACTACCTCTTTATGTCACTTGTAGCAATCTCAATATTTTTTTAGCTGACTGAAACATTCAAAGTATATCCTGCCTGTGTATGTCATCGTGGAAAAGCTGAACACACAGCTCTTTGTAGTATTTCGACACACATGACAGACAAAATGTTAAGTCACCATTCAGGTCAGTGTAGCTCATGGAGTAGTTGGTTTCCTTGTTGGTGCTGCTGAGGGACGCAGGAGGTACAGTTTCCTGACCGAGACTCTGAAGGGAAGAATAAACAAGGCAGTGTGTTTATAAGAGAATGAATATATTATCTGTAGGCCTACAGACATAAGACCCCCAGAGGCCCAGTGAGTTAATCCACAACACATTCTATAACATAAACTGTCACCAAAAATCATGTAAGAAAGTATAATGTTGTCTAAAGTTACATCTGTTTTTAAGTAGTACGCATAACAGAACTTCTATGTGTTGTATTAAGCCCCCCTGGCAAAAATAGAAGTGATTTAAAATGACTGGTCGGTGGGAAAACAACATCAAAGTGCTCAGCAGGGATTTTCACAAAAAAATGTGTAATCTCTTGCTGGCTGTTGCCATTTGACCTCCCCCCAAAAGAGTGTGTAAATTATGGCTGTTAGATGACTGCAAAGAGTGTTACCCCCTGTTGTGTCTGTGCTCGCCAGTCTAGAGTGTCTCAGTGATCGATGGTGGGTTTAAGTGAGTTTGTCGTCTATCTCAAACAAAGAAAAGGCTATTTGAGGTATAAGGTCAAAGGATTAACGATGGGCAGTTCAGAGAATTTGATGTTGTGTTCAGTATGTGCTGCATGAGATATTTCCTTCAAAACCAAAGGCAAAAAAGGGATTATGATGATGCTTTATATTGACATTGAAAAAATCTTTGGAGATAAAGCTTTTCTATTGTAATAATAAGTATGGTGGCCCTGAAGTGCAAGACACCACAGCATTTCAGAAAACACTACAGCATTTCAGAAAAACGCTGCAGCATTTCACCAAACGCCACAGCATTTCACAAAACACCGCAGCATTTCACAAAACACCGCAGCATTTCACAAAACACCGCAGCATTTCACAAAACACAACAGCATTTCACAAAACACCACAGCATTTCACAAAACACCACAGCATTTCACAAAACGCCGCAGCATTTCAAAAAAACGCCACAGCATTTCACAAAACAGTACAGCATTTCAGAAAACACCACAGCATTTCAGAAAACGCCACAGCATTTCAGAAAACACTACAGCATTTCAGAAAACACCACAACATTTCACATTGGACGGAAAGGGTATTCCTTTAGGGAGAACACTTCTTGTTTGTGATTGGACAGAGCCAGCCAGAGAAGCACTGCTGTGATTGTTTTTTGTTGCTGCCAGTCAAGAAATGACGCTTCGTGGTTGGTGTTATCTGAAATGCTGTTGTGTTTTCTGAAATGCTGCGGCGTTTTCTGAAATGCTGTTGTGTTTTCTGAAATTCTGTGGTGTTTTCTGAAATGCTGTGGCGTTTTCTGAAATGCTGTAGTGTTTTCTGAAATGCTGCGGCATTTTGTGAAATACTGTTGCGCTTTCTGAAATGCTGTGGCGTTTTGTGAAATGCTGTGGTGTTTTCTGAAATGCTGTAGTGTTTTCTGAAATGCTGTAGTGTTTTCTGAAATGCTGTAGTGTTTTGTGAAATGCTGTGGTGTCTTAAAACCGTAAATAAGACTAGTATAAGGTATTTATTACTGTCTAAACAGCAATAATTTAAATAATAATAATAACATAACAGTAAGTTGTAGGAGGTAATCACGAGTCATGAGTAATAAATAATAAAATAGGTAACAAATAAATATTCAATAAAACAAAAAACGATGCTTTGACAACTGTTTTATCTCACCTGAGTGAGGAGGTCCATCTCCCCCAGCAGGTCACTGAACATGGCGTCAATGTCATCCATCTGTTTGAAGCAACGACAACACAGCAGAGTCAGTCAAATAAAAAAAACACCAACATCAGACCGTAAACTATTTTACCATGTGACAACAATCTGATAACCCCAAAGTGAACTGTTGGAACAGCATGTTTCTCAATGAGCTGTATTGATTGGTGGTACAAGGAAGCAAATAATTTCCATTGATTGGATACGGTTCTCATGATGAATGATATTAAAGGAATGTCTGGAATGGTGAGGTAAATCCATCTTCATGGTGACACAACTGTTAGATACACAAACATGTTTCACAGCCAGTGGTGAGACACAGTACTGCATCCTTTAAAATGTGTGCAGAATAGATGTAATACGTGACCTGAGGCTATGTTATCATCTCCACCCAGACTGAAGCAAGAAAGGTATGTACTCATAACTTCCAGGCACTCGGTTTTTGCCAGAACTTGTTGTGTCTTGTTGAACTTGGGAGTGCAATATTATTTCATTTTTCAGATTTAGAAGTCAGTTGTACTTTTTTTGCCAGACCTCTACTTTCTAAGTTCCAGCCACAGATAATCTTTAATATTACTGTACATTCTTTCAATTAAAAAAAACTGACACACAGTAGGTTTCCTTCATTATGAATACAAATAGCAATTTGTATCAAATACTGCTGGCTGAAAAACAATAATCAGGATATTTCATGATTACAAAAATCCCTGGAACACCCTACAGTGTACAGTAAACAGGATTTTAAAACTATTGAGATTTATAAAATATTCATGCTTGCTATAAATTGTTGTTTAAATGTCAAGGCTCATACATATGACTGCTTAAATACAAAGTGAAATACACCGTGGACAGACTGTGTTTTTCCTGAAACAAATCCTGAAGACACATCTGATTTTCAGCTGTAATTATGTACGCTGTCTCTCACACATGTATTTTTTTAATCCCCATTTTCCTCAGAGCAAATGTTATGATGGGCTGTTAAACAAGGAACCTGTTTTCTTACAGTGGAACATGACCAGTGGCGCAAAGGTGTCAATGGGAGTTCATTCAGCCACAGTGGCGCTTTGATGGGGTTTTTTGTTTCACTAATTCCAGAAATGTAATGTGATGTTGATGGTTCAGTATACCCTAAAATTACTGAGCATGAAAGGGAACAATTTTACTGGAAGGACATATTAACACAGAGAATGGCTGCTGTAACTGCTGAAGCAGTCTGGTGAACATTAAAGGTCCACTTTCTGCCAGGTGTTTGGTTGCTGTTCAAGAAGATCGATAGCCTCCATTTTAGTCACGCTATAATTTTGTACTTCTAGGGATAGAAACAGAAACCATATATGGTTTACCATAAGCCTATATACTGCAAATCATTCATTTTTCTTGTGCATTAATTAAGTCATGTGTCAGTGTCTCAACATCTCCTGGATGGATCAGCACAGCATTTAGTATAAACAGTATAAACATGTAATGGTATCAAGACTTTGTATCCTTATGATTGTGGTACTCTGACCATCAAGCAAAATCATCACGTCAAATTTTAAAATACCGAAAGAACCATCTTATGAAGTAGTACCTGCAAAAATAACTGTTAACCATAACACACCCTTTGTCACAAAGCTAATTGTTGGCATGCTAACACGTTAAACTAAGGTAACACTACCTGCTAATGCTTAAAAATGTTAGCACACAGATGTTCACATTTAGCTCAAAGCACTTATGTGCCTCAGAGAGTGACAAGCATTACTCTGAGTCTTATTATGTCAAAACCTATATACAGTATGACTTGTCCGTAGAACTCAGTTGGTCTCTTTGATTCAAAATAGTATAGTAAGGCTATACGCTCGTATTTAAAAATGCAGGTGAATGTGGTTGTGTCGTGGTTTATATTAAAGTTTGGTTTGTTTTAAGTGATGGGCTACGGCTTCTGAATGCCTCAAAGCGATGTGTTGAGTTAGTGGCTACACACTCTTAACCCATTATTTTTTCATAGGCCTCATTTTAGTGTCCTGGAAGTCACTAACCTAAAAACAAGCTCCACACATTCTTTAATCTTGTTGGTTAAACTTTAAGTTAACCGATAAGATTTTATCCATCCCAGATAAAGGATTATACAACAACATTTCCAGTCTGCTTTATAGTTTCTCTAACAAAATGTGACTCGCTGCATTCACTTACTACAGTTTGGAATCTGTTCACATTTAGAGCCAAACAAAAGAAAACACAAAAAAAATGAAATGTTGCAGAGGAGACAGGAGTGACTGATTGTGTTCCAGGAAATAGTTCATACAGTGACCTGATGTCTCTCATTTGAACGTTAGATGAATCCATATTGTTCCAATATCTAACAGATGGAGTGTGCAAATATAGTTTGAAGCTAAGTCAACTTAATCCCTATCTACTACCATAAATGGGTTTGTGAAAATATTAGATAAAGACTTGCGAAATATCTCTGGGTTGGTTTGTGGCACAAGGTATTTTACTTACTTGAGTGTCAGGCAATCACTTCTATGTGAATATTGTATGTGTGTCTTCTTAAATGTTGCTAGTTGTGGGCCAGCTCCACCCCTGTTTTTCAAAATGGTACGCCCCTTGAGGGAAGTGGTGAAGGGCGAATTTCCTGCCACATGCAATGTTGAAATTGTGTAGGAAATGGTGACATGAACACAGGGCCGTCCCTGGCCAACTTGAGGCCCGACACGCAAAGTTAGGGGGGGCGGTTGGTGGAGTTGAGGCTCAGTTGAGGCTCCCTCCGCAAGATGAGGCCCCCTCCGCGAGGTGAGGCCCCACGCAGTCTGCGTGATCTTCCTGTAGGGAGGGACGGCCCTGCATGAACAGCCACCTGCGGCCTTAATAATAATGTTTCCTCACACACTTCGTTTCACATTTTAAAGGGTCTGAAACATACACATTGCCTGGGCCAATGCATGGGATCATTTTCATATTGGCTAAACAAAAACATAGTGATGCACTCTTTTATGACTGCTCTTTCATTATTTTAATTAGCCTTTTTTTCCTGTGGTTTCACATTTTATATAATGTTATGACAACCACAAAACAACAGATCTTACTACAACGACCACATATGGCTTTGGTCAACACACAGAACATGTAAACACAGTGAGCGTCTGATGCCATTTTCATTGGGTATTTTCTAAAGTAACAAAAGGGAGAAAGAAAGAGTCAGTTGGGTCACTCTTGAGAGCTGTGTTTTTAGGCCAAACGCATGAAATGAAGCACTTCTATGTTTTCTTTGTGAAAAGGTTATGGAAGTTTTAATAATCACTTCTTCCCACCCTTCAACATTCAAATTAAGGAAGTATTAAGCTTTTTTTCTTCTGTAAGTGAGACAATGCAAACACAACCAGAGAAACCACAATAAAGGTGTTAATCTGTTGTCAACGCAATCATTTTAGAATATCAGCATAACCTTTTTATTAAACTTATAACAGGACAGGAATAGGATAACAAAAAGAACTATGAATTTGAGCTCAGAGATGACGTGTTTCTGTTGGGAAATCATGCAAAATATTTTTATCAGCAATATTGGAGAACTTCATAGTTAGATTGGAAAGCCTGGCAGGACTAAGGGTATTTCAAAAAACTATTACTGATGCATAAAGTGCTCAAAAGAGAGCTAAGTTTTGCATTTTAATCTGATAAAAGTGTAGATTTCCCTGGGTAAGGTCAAATAGAGGGAATAATGGAATAATTTATGTTCCTGTCAATCACTACTCTTACTGTAAAACAAAGTTTTCATATTCACATAACTAATATAAAGCCTGAAGGAAAACAATCATACAAGTATGTAGCTGCCTCTTTGCATCATTTATGTTTACTTACCAGAGGCCGCTCTGAAATATGTGAATTGTCAAGCATTTATAAATATTATTGGAAATGTTTGGGGCATGAAATTTGGTAGCCTTTCAAACTCGCACAATGCATTTGTGAAAACATACCACCGTACTTCTGTTATCAAAAGGAAAGTATAAAATATAGCATAGGGAAAACTATATTCTTACAGAAAACAACTCCCCTCTTAATAATCTCAAATATGTTTCAGCCCTTTTTTAAATCCACACATGTGTAACTCAAGCTTCAGACAAGAAAATGGAAGCCAGACAAAACTCATATTAAAGCCGAGCATGTTTACCATACTGTAAAGAAACTCCCTCTCTTACTCGGCTCAAATATCTTTACTTGGGTCTTGGGCAGATGTGTTTGCTGAACTAGATGTACTCTACTGTAAAGTAGGCAAATAAGGGGGTCAGCAGCAAAAACAAAGAGCTGAAAGGCATGAAAAGCACGAATCACATTTGACATTTAGCAATCCACAAGATCATATATATGTTTGCTGAAGGGGGTATATGTGCTTTTGTAGAAATCAAACGCGTACAGTAATTTCCAGAAGGGTTTGATTTACATAATCCTTCAACTTTTTTCCTTTACATAAAATCCCCTCTGCACATGAGTCATTTGACAGTCTGTCTAAACATATATTTCAGCCTCCTCTGACTTGACAGCAGGTCAAAAACTGTCAACCTAAAGGTTTTTACTCATGTATTGCAAACAGACTTTTGCAATGAAAGACTGTTTATAAGTAATTCGGTCCAGTTTTCTTTTATTTAATCACATCTCAAAAAGCCGAATGCACAACATGTTCCTATCTTCACTGACAGCACACAGCTTTAAAATAGGAGGCCAACCCTATCAGTTTCATGTGGTTATTGAGTCATACAGCAGTGTGAAATTAGAGCCCGGTCCACCCATTTTGAAAGCAGACAAGAGCACATATGAACTTACTCCCTTTTTGATTATATTAAAAATATCCTAATGACTGACTTATCTCTATACAGCAACCTAATAAAACCTTATCTCATAAGAACAAATCCGTCTTGGGTGACAATAGCCGTATTGTTTCATTGGTGTACTATTATTACATACTCTGACAACTTTTAAAAGTCTGTATCTAGGATATGACAGGATGTCTAAGATTCTCAGTGTGTATGATTAGCGATATCTTTATTTTTCTTCTAGCTAGAGGAGAAAAAAGTGTTTGATGTGACAGCCAGTCAATAAAAAAAACAACAATGATTAATATACAGAACACTCAAAGATATGAACGCTCAGAACAAAAGCAGCTATGGGTGTTCACCGTTAACTGAAACATCCAACTTAGCAGAGATGTAAACTCACCTTTCCAAATGTATTAATCCAAGTTTCACCAGTTAGTTTCAAGATAACAGCTTCATGGGCGTCAGTTCCACCTCAAATTACTACTCTCTAATAAAGCTGAACACCAACAAAACAGTCACATACAGGCGGCGTTGGGTGTGTTGATGTGGATTGCATCTGGGTCTTGACTCTTGACTTCTTCCTGCTTAATGCGGAAGTTCAGGTCGAGACCTGTCACTACATTCCTTCTGAAAGCTCAACACTTTCACAAGTCTTGTCTGGGCAGCGCTGAGCCGTCCCCCTCCACAGTCTCCTTATCTGCATTGTATTGCAAATGTTTCAAACGCGTACAGATCAGGGGAATTCTGAAGAGGAGTTTGATGTGACTAATGGCGCTGACCACTTGAGGAGATGATGAAGTATCTGGAGGTTAAAAAGGAAAGAGAGGTCTCATGGGAGTGAGAGAACGGCTGATTCAGCATGGGGAATTTGAAGGTCTTGGTTAATAATTCACCTCACTGAAACTGATTTACTGCCGGTCTTTAGACAGGAGTGGTAGTGTGGCACGTCACACAGCAAACACCAGATCAAACTGAGCTCCAGTGATCTGAATTCTTCAAGATTGATACTACATATAGAATGATTTGCTGTACACGTTTTAAATACAATTAGGCATACAGAAGTTGCATTAACTTACACTCAAGAGGTTATTTCTTCTTAAAACCAGGAAGGAATATCCTTAGACACTGTTGTGGTGCAACAAGGTCAGTTATCTTCAGGGGGGAACCAAGAGAGACTTAACAGGACTAAAAATGGAAAACCACAATAAAAGTGTTAATCGGTTGTCTTCGCAATCATTTTAGAAAATCAATATAACCTTTTAATTAAACTTAGAAACAGGACAGGAATATGATATACAAAAAAACCTATGAATTTGAGACTGGCTCAGAGATGACGTGTTTCTGACAAACAAATTCATCAGCAATATTGGAGAAATTCATAGTTCGATGGAAAAGCCTGGCATGACCAAGGGTATTTCAAAAAAACTATTACTGATGCATAGATCCTACATATAGAATTATTCGCTGTACACGTTTTGAACAAACTCAGGCATACAGAAGTTGCTTTAACTTACACTCAAGAGGTTATTTCTTCTTAAAATCAGGAAGAAAGGTCAGTTATCTTCAGGGGGGAACCAAGGAGAGACAATCTGTCAGGCTATGAATAGCCTCTGGCTCTTATCTGACCTGTCAGACACAGATATCTCTATTTATTTGCATTTCTCCTTTAGTCAAGATCTCACTTCTTGTTTATTTAAATTCCTTGTCAGCTTACAAGGGGGGCCAACAAATGCAAAAGGTTAAACGTAAGGAAAAATTGAGATCATAAAGCATACTTATACTTAAAAGAACAACTTTGCCCCATTGCTAACCTCATTTTAAACTTGAGTCATTATACAGTGAAGCTGCACACAACAGGGGGAAACCAAATAGCCTTCAGCTTTTCCAAAAAGGCTTTTATGGTTCATGACGTATTAAGTCATGAGTCAAAACCACCCTCATTCCCTCTCTCCTCTCTCAGGGGTTGACAAACAGATGGACATATGCACCCTTCCATTAGCTCCAAGCATGTCCCAAACACAAGCATGGCGTGCCTCAGAGAACATTTTTCATAGGCTGATTACTGGTTGGAGAGCTCTGCAGCAAAGAGAATTATGATTGTTCTGCTTTGTTGTTCCTTTGCAGTTACATTTCAGTGACTGACAAAAACATTATCCGTATCCGCTATGTTGGACCACAGTCCAACATAGCGGATACGGATAATGTTTTTGTCCAGCATGGGGAATTAGATGGTCTTGATAAATCAGACAGCTGTCCATCTAATTCTTGATAAGCTTCAATCTATGTCTTGAAGCTTCAAGACATAGATTTTTGTAGATGTTAGGACAAATTAAGTTAATTTCAAATAAACTGGGGGCAAATATTTTAAGCCTTACAGGCTGCAAAACAAAGAGTTGAAAAAGAGCAGTATTTGTGTTTTAATGTACAGAACCCCAGATGGAAAGGTGTGAGATGTAGGAAGGGCATTGTTTTAAGCTATTAGTCTCCATGATATTAAATCAGAGTGCTACGACACCCTCTAAAAACCTTTCTTGGGCTTTTCTGCACTAAAAGAAAAAGGGGTGCTAATGACAAAACCAGTGGGCACCTTTCAAAACGATAAAGCATTTGTCAAATATAGCACTGCAGAGGACAAACTGTCACAATGATGATGGGAAAAGTGATGTATTAGGAGTGTTGTAGTGCCCTCTGTGTGTACTCTGCTGTACTATACATTCTGTGGGTGGTGTAGATCATGTTCGTGATACCAAGCTGCACCACTTATTTTCTTTGTGGAGTGCTGATCCACTCTGCATGTTAATGCAGGAAACAACCACATTTTTTTATTCTAATGTAGTTTTCCGCTCAGCCCCTAAAGTGCTGCTTGGCTGGATTTATGCCAACAGAATCCAACAAACAAGGATACTGAGGTTTGTTTTTTATTAAAATGAATATGTCAAACTTGCCTCATTATGGAGGCCCACTTCTGCAAGGTAAAACTACATAGTTAGGCAAAATAGAAATATTGTTTATCTATATGCTCATGGAAAATCAAAATGACAAGATACTCGATCAACATAATGGTATACTACGTCAAAATTGTATGATGTTAACTAATTATGAGAGAATCAAACACGTACAGTTTCCAGAAGTAAGAATGGTTTGAGAATAAGTCAACTTGTTCAGGTAAACATTTTCAGAATATGGCAATAGTATAATAGAATGAGTGGGAAAATAGATTAACAAATTGATTGATTTAAAAAAGAAAATAAATCTAAGGCAAGTTATAATATGAACATTATAAGTCAACACTTTGAATGATTGTATCTGAATGATGAGATACTTAATCAGAACAAGGTGATAATCAATGGTCAAAGTTGGTTTTTTTGCCTTTTTTTCCCTTTGTAAAAATGGGCTTCCATAGGTGTCTGACCTTTAACTAATGAAAGAGAAAGTGACAACAGAACCTGACGAACTCCAAACATCCCACCACACATCATCCTCAGATAACCTCCCATAACATGTGGTTGTGCTGATGAACTCAAATGAGAGGGTCCAAAAAGCAGCTGTGGGTTTCACATTCCTGACTTCAGCCATAGGTCACCTCAACAAAAGTTTGACCTCTGTTGGCTCCGTCTATAAAGTGGGGCGCTCAGTGTTGACAAGCCCAGTATAACTTGAAGACACTGGGTGGAGGACCAGCAGCTGTCTCAACATTCAGAAAGTGCTACAAAGAAAATAACACTGCCACTTTCTGCAACTTGGATGGTCGTGAGGTCACAGGGAAGTCAGCAGTGAGCAAAATGAAAAGTGACAGTTTGCAGGAGAAGATGACAGGACAGGAAAACATTTAGCTATGCATGGACATCATCTCATGATCGTGGGAGCCAATATATTTTTTCAGGAAATGTTTCACTTTTCCTCCACATCAATGAGGGATTCCTGCATGGAAAGCAGGGAAGGTGAAGGGTTAAATTGTGGCCGGGGGAAACCTGATGCTAATTAAGTCTTAGGAATGCCACATACTGACATTGTAGTGCAGAAGCCCTCACAGTGGGGCAGACATGGAGAGAGCAGGCGGTAGGACTGCGTGTGTCTAATGTTTTATTTTTTACTGACAGACGTTCAAGCCAGTCTCACCGAACTCTGGATCTGAAGGTAATGATTGGTCAATAATACTTATATACTTTGTTTCTATAGTGAGAGGGGTTTCATCAGAAAGAAGCTCAGAGATGGATCACAGGACCATTTTTGAGATTTCTCCACCACCCGGGAATCAAAAGCTTAATGTGCATGTTTCTTCTTTTTCAGAGAGAAAACTAACGCAGAAGCAAAAATGGTTTTAGTAACACCTGTATTGTTGCTGCTGCTCTCTTGGATATCGACGCAAACTGTCGCAGAGGTCTGCCGGGGGACGCACTGCTACGGCGCGGAAACCAGCGATCCAAGACCGTGCGTCGGAGCGCACTGTCCGGGGGGCAGAACCTCCAGACCGCCGCGGCACCATCACCCGAGAGGGGCGCAGATAGTGGCCGGCCAACACCATGCCTACCCGGGCTCTCCAAGAGCAGTCTCAGAGGGGTATCCGCCTGTGCAGCCACTTCGCGTGCGGCACACTGACAGCAGCAGTGGCACGCGGTTAAGAGCGCCTGAAGTTTTACCTGCAGGATGCACGGATGCGGACTGCGCCGCTCTTGTGAAACAATTTCAGCCCACCACCAATGACACCCGAGAATGTAAAGGGATCGAGTGCAGACTGCCGCTGAGGATACGGCCAAAAGCCCGAGCGAAGTCATGTGTGGGAGAGGGCTGTAGTTCAGAGGAGAGCCAGCTCCCTCCTGTCCATCTGTCCGACAGAGCGGCACAGTTTATGGGGGATTTTCCGGAACTTGGATATCCATCTTCGGAACTTGGTGGAGCTCCTTTGGGTGTCCAGCTCACATGTGACATCAAGCCAGGTCTGCTTTCATCATCTTCTCTGTCAACAACATTTTTTAACTGTTGCGATGATTACAGGATGATTTAATTTCTTTAAAATGTCCTTCATCAGTTCTGGTATTTTCTTGCAGTGAAAGCAAGAACATAATAATTACCATTATATTTGATTGACTTTAACCACCCTGTTTCTCCAGTGATCTGCACAAGGGCATCATGGTCCATAAGCAAAAGGGTACTTGTAGGTTATCTGTCACCACTTTTTTATTTAACCCTAACCCATACCCTAACCCAGTGGTTCCCAAAGTGGGGGGCGCGCCCCCCCCCTGAGGGGCGCAGAGGCATGACAGGGGGGCGCGAGAGACCAGGAGGGAAAATGGTTATTACAAAAAAAACATAATTTGAAAAATTATTGATTCGAAAATAATATGATACAGTACAGTACTATTACGTCTGGGTCTCTGTGTTTCATTAAAGCTTGGCTCTGTGTGTGTGTGGAACGAGCCATTTTGTGTGCGCGAGCGAGAGAGAGAGAGAGAGAGAGAGCGCACCGGTACCGGAGATCGTTGTTGTTAGCTTCTGGTGCTAGCGAGCTACGCTAACGGATATAAGGAGTTTTTTCAACAACAAAGTGGAGTCCTCTCCTGTCAGACTCAGAGGCTCAGTGAGCTAAAGGACTCTCTCAGTGT